TATCAAACTGCTACCTAATACTGATAATGCTAACCCAAATTGAATTACTTCCAATGGAAATTAAACAAATGTTGGTCTAAAATGTGATTTCCCTATATTAACTATAGTAATGTTTACCCCCTCCCCAGGCGGAACATGAGACTCAGGGTCAAGAAATTCACAATTTTGGTAAAGCACCTTAAGACCCTTCCATCTATGAAGAGGATTTGATTCTACCATATCTGGGTCTTGAGAAAAAGATTTTTGAAATTTTAGTCAATTTGACCCTTTTTGGCCCCGCCCCTCAGGCCCCTGGGGGCTTGGGACTAAACCGGCCACTATTTTTGTTGACCTTTGTCCATGGAAGGTCCCTGCATAATTTCATTGAAATTGGTTCAGGGGTTTTGGAGAAGAAGATTTTTGAAATTTTAGTCAATTCAACCCTTTTTGGCCCCTCCCATCAGCCCCTGGGGGTCAGTCAGGGCTCATAGGTGCATATTATCAAACTGCTACCTATACTGATAATGCTAACCCAAATTAAATTACTTCCAATGCAAATTAAACAAATGTTGGTCCAAAATGTGATTTCCCTATATTAACTATAGTAATGTTTACCCCCTCCCCAGGAGGAAACGTGAGACCCCAGGGTCATTAAATTCACAATTTCGGTAAAGCACCTTAAGACCCTTCCATCTCTGAAGAGTATTTGATTCTACCATATCTAGGTCTTGAGAAGAAGATTTTTGAAATTTCAGTCAATTCAACCCTTTTTGGCCCCGCCCCTCAGGCCCCTGGGGGCTTGGGACTAAACCGGCCACTATTTTTGTTGACCTTTGTCCATGGAAGGTCCCTGCAAAATTTCATTGAAATTGGTTCAGGGGTTTTGGAGAAGAAGATTTTTGAAATTTCAGTAAATGCAACCCTTTTTGGCCCCACCCATCAGCCCCTGGGGGTCAGTCAGGGCTGATATGTGCTTATTACCAAACTGCTACCTAATACTGATAATGGTAACCCAAATTAAATTACTTCCAATGCAAATTAAACAAATGTTGGTCTAAAATGTGATTTTCCTATATTAACTATAGTAATGTTTACGCCCTCCCCAGGCGGAACATGAGACTCAGGGTCAAGAAATTCACAATTTTGGTAAAGCACCTTCAGACCCTTCCATCTATGAAGAGGATTTGATTCTACCATATCTGGGTCTTGAGAAAAAGATTTTTGAAATTTTAGTCAATTTGACCCTTTTTGGCCCTGCCCCTCAGGCCCCTGGGGGCTTAGGACTAAACCGGCAACTTGACTTTGTCTCAGGTGACCTAATAAAATGTTAAGTTTGACGGGGTGTAATCAGGTGAATACCAATCCATCGCGGCACTTCTGAATATGATATGCAGCTGTAGCAGCATAATTGACATTGCAAACATCATCAAATTAATTTCCAAATACATATTTTTCAATAATTATAAGGTTCTGTCAACAAATTTATTGTTTTTTGTATGAATGTTGTGTGTTATTAGCGAAATTCTCTAACATCGGCGTTTCCCCGTTAAAGAAAGTGAAAGTAGATTTCGGAAAGCGAATATAACCTTAAATTACTGAATTTAAGTACAATTTGATTGATCATCAGTCGATCATCAATCACTTGATTGAAAGTGATGATCGAGTATGAATTTACAAGCGATTCCCAACACTAAAGTTGGCTATGGGGTACTATTGCTGTGTAGGTACCCGGGAATCATTATCACTATGTCATACTGTACAACTTCATCAAAGAATTCATTTGGTCCAAGAAAACAATTCCTAAATAAACAAGAGGCCCAAGGGCCTTAGGGGTCACCTGAGTTATATCATAGGTACTGGTAGCTTTATTTTATTGTTTAGATGTGATGTGGAAATCAGCATGTAAACTAAGTGAAATACAATACTTGTCATGTCATCAAAGGATAAGAATTTGAAAATATTGGTAAATGTTCCCTTTGGGGCCCTGCCCTAGCCCCTGGGGATGGGGCAGGAATCCCAATTTTACAAAGTAATACTCTCATTCACCAAAGATGATTCGGAGTAAGTTTGAGTAATTTTCTGCTGAAAATGGATAAAATATATACCCAAAAATAAATTTCCCTATATAAACTATAGTAAACTTTACCCCCTCCCCAAGGGAGAACGGATAGCTCGAGGGTTCTGAAATTTACGATTTAAATAAAGCCCCTGATGATTTTCTTTCCATGCAGAGAAAATGAATGTAGTACCTCCGAGTCTGGAGGAGAAAAATTTGGAAATATTGGTTAATTTTCCCTTTGGGACCCCGCCCTGGCCCCTAGGGTTGGGGTAGGAATTTCAATTTTACAATTTGAAACCATCTTCCTCCAAGGATAATTCTCACCAAGTAAAAATAATTTCCAACAAAAGGTTGTCAAAATATACCTAAAAGGGTTATTTCCCTATATAAACTATAGTAAACTTTAACCCCTCCCCAAAGGAGAGCAAATAGCTCGGGGGTCCTGAAATTTACAATTTAGGTAAAGCCCCTGATGATCTTTCTTTCCCTGTAGAGAAAATGACTGTAGTACCTCTGAGTCTGGAGAAGAAGATTTTTGAAATATTGGTTAATTTTCCCTTTGGGCCCCCGCCCTGTCCCCAGGGGTTGGGGTAGGAATCTCAATTTTACAATTTGAAAACATCCTCCTCCAAGGATAATTCTCACCAAGTAAAAATAATTTCCTACAGAAAATTGTCAAAATATACCCAAAAGTGTTATTTCCCTATATAAACTATAGTAAACTTTTCCCCCTCCCCAAGGGAGAACGCATAGCTTGGGGGTCCTAAAATTTACAATTTAAGTAAAGCCTCTGATGATCTTTCTTTCCCTGTAGAGAAAATGAGTGTAGTTCCTCTGAGTCTGGAGAAGAAGATTTTTGAAATATTGGTTAATTTTTCCTTTGGGGCCCCACCCTGTCCCCAGGGGTTGGGGTAGGATTCTCAATTTTACAATTTAAAACCATCTTCCTCCAAGGATAATTCTCACCAAGTAAAAATAATTTCCTACAGAAAATTGTCAAAATATACCCAAAAGTGTTATTTCCCTATATAAACTATAGTAAACTTTACCCCCTCCCCAAAGGAGAACGAATAGCTGGGGGGTCCTGAAATTTACAATTTAAGTAAAGCCCCTGATGATCTTTCTTTTCATTTTACAATTTTGTAGCCTCATCTACCAAGGATGATTATGACCAAGCTTGAAAATAATCCATCCACTGGTTCTTGAGAAGAAGTTGAAAATGTAAAAAGTTTACGCATGACGCACGACGACAGACGGAGAGCGATTAGAATATGTCACTTGAGCAAAGCTCAGGTGACCTAAAAACAAACCTTCTTACCTGAATGAGTCATAATACTGGTGCATAGTCCCACCCGATCTTCCACACCCAAAATGGAAGACCCGTCTACAGGCTCCAACAACGCAGCCTATGGTGGCACCCTTCTGTTTACAATATGTACAGCGCTGGAAACAGAAAAATTCCAAAATGAAACAATTCAATTTTTCGCAAGCAGTATACTTTTTAGTACATTTTTTTATTCATATAAAAACAAGACGATTACTATAGTCCGACTTTTCTTTTCAGTGTTTTTGTAGTTTGCAGCTTGCTATTAAATATATTATAAATTCTTTTAGAACTGTCAAATAGATTCTGTAAAGTAAATTGCTGATACGGTTCCCTGTCCCAAAGATAATGATCCACTTTGACATAGCAAGATCAGTTGACACTCAATTTTTTCCTTCCAAATTTCTAAATTAACTGCGACTGCCATATTATTTTCCAAACAGCTCTTTCTGCTTATTTCACATGATCGATAGATTCACCTAGTTGAGAAGGGTTAAACAGTTACATCATTATCTTATAACACTGAGAAATGAAACAACTTATTTGTTCCAGTTTGTACACCTGGATTCAAATGCTGCAGGGGATGTTGCCGACTAAATGCATAGGGGCAGATAATCCATTTCCAATCAATCACACTGTTACAAGTTTTATACATATCCGTACTTTCCAACATATCTCTCAATACCTTTTAACCTGTATATATTTTGGGGAACAGATGCTGAATTATTTGTGTTTCTATGGATGACATGAGGTACATGTAGTGATTTTTCAGCCTATATAAATGGAGTCGAGTACCGATCCCATTCCCAATGAGATTTCATCAAAATAATTACCAATTGTCCCGCTGAATTTCCCAACTGATTACCGATTTTAAATCCGGTCATTGTTTTTGTGTATAGAATGCAAGTCGTCTGCAAATGCTTAGCTGATCACGAATCACTGAGAAATATGGCGTCGTCTCACAACGGCAAATACTACGCCCAAAAAATACGGCTATCGGACAGTAAGGGCTCCAAAAGCTTGCCTGATCTTTTTAAACGCAAAAATCCACCACAGATGTTATCAGAACCCGTGCGTGCCTGTCCGATTCCACTTGTCGAGACAGAGCCGACATCGGTATCTCCGCGACCTGAATCAATCGCCGAGCTGGGATTGGTCTTTTTTTTTTTACTGTAATAGCCCTTGTAATACAATTCCCCTTCCAAAAAAACATCTGTTTACGCGTTAAATTTTCCCAATTTCCAGAAAATTATTTTTTCCCAAAATAGCCTGAAAAATCACTGAATTTTGGCTTTGTGTTCCTCACCAGTCTTGCCCCTCGGCGTACTTCCTTCATGATGTCCTCAGGCATGAAGCCAAAGATTCCTTCTTCTTCTGAATTGCCCCCTTGGCTCAAACCACTTGAAAACAGCTGAAACAACATTAATCAATTCACATAAAAATAAAATCAATACTGACTAAACTTTGAAAAACAGAACTTTGGCAATGCATATAGTGGGATCTGAGACCTGATTTCAGTATGCAAAACTCTAATTTAGGCTTCTTACAAACTTTGGTATAAAACTAAACAAATAGTCATAGTTCTGTATAATGTGGAACACAAGAACAAACTTCAGTACGAGACACTCTGCCTTTCTAAGTTACATAACAATTTGGGTATTATATGGTTCAGACAAAATATTGTTGACACGCAGTCCGACTGTGAAAGCCATACCATAACATTAACCATTGATAATAATTTGTGAACCGCTTTGAGACAACCTATGATTATGAACTCGGTTGTGATAAAGTGGTATATAAGAACCTCAAATTATTATTTTTATTATTTAGTATATGCTTGAAAATTTCTCGCAATCACATTGGTCGAATCCTATACACGTGACCAGTCCTCAAAAACTCATGAAGACTGGTTATCCGGTGAATATTGATTTCTAAATGAAGCATATATGGAAATTCCCTGGAAATTGTCGTAGCATGTGCGCAGTTACACCGGAACGCGATCTGTCGAACAACAACAGAACATAGTTGATGGCAAATGCTTCGCCGCCTTTGAAAATTTCCAAATAATACTCTAGGATAAAGATGCTGTTAACACAAAAAAGGTCACAGACTATGCAGTGCGAGTCCTCCATGCTTGGAAAAGAATCTTGACGATGTCTTCGAAAGCTACGATGCTGAACTGTTGGAATCAACCCTGCCTAAACTTTATGAGGAGGCTCCGTAAAAAATCAGAACCATGAGTTTTTTTAATTTCATCATTATAAAACAGTTATGGGCTTTTGTGCTGGTAAATATGATGTGATATGAACCTAAAAAAGTGATTTTATATAACTTTTTCAGGTTCATATCACATCATATTCTCCAGCACAAAAGTCAATAATTGAATTATTTTTAGTGCTGTCACGATTTTACCCATGATTTTATACTTAAGAATAAAAACGGATTCGATGCGATGAACTCAACTGAGATGTGCGACGCCATGTTTGTAGTTTACCCTGATTTGTAGGCTCACACAAACATATCCGGCAAAATAGTTTGTGATTAGTCCACTTTGCCGTTGATACACGGAAACCCAAAGTGTTTCCACACTTCTGATTTGAAGCTTGCCGGAGCATCACAAATTTTCATTTCCTTACCAGGGTCTGCCATTTTGTTATGAATGCTTTGTGAAAATTGCATCCTCGCAACCGATTGGTTGAGGATTTAGAGATCAGCCAATAAAATTGAACATCTCAGACGTTTCGTCTGAAGCTGCATACACTAATATTCAGATTGTGACGTACTGAAAATCCGTAAAAAAATATCGTGAATCGAACATAAATAATCGCGATACAAGTGCATCGCGGTGAATCGTGACGCCTCTAATAATGTTCCATCCAAGACAAGTATGTAACAAGCCATTCGGATTGATATGTCTCGTCTATGCCCCGGATTGATTATCAATGCACATATCAGAGAAACTAACTTAAACTGTTGATGGAGATACTGACAAAGTCAATGGACCATGAAAGGTGAGGCCACATCCAGCATTTGATGCATACAGGGTTGAGATGTACTGCCTCAGATGCATCTATGGTCCAAGTTTGGTTAGTCTAGCACTTATGCTTTCAGAGAAACTTTGTGGCGGCGAGACAAAAACTGATATTGTAAATGCACACGTTGAAAGTTTTGCCTTCCATTATACAAACTGACATGAAGGTGAATTAGAAACCAACCCATTCTAAACTTGCAATTGTAACAGGACTGCTGTGTGTACACAATAACAAATTGTTCAGACTCACTGTAAATACACTGTGACAAACATACAACCAATTTTGGCCATGAAAATCTCCTGAATTTATTATTCTTACCATGCAGAAGTAATGGACAGTGAGGTCACATTTTTTTATCATTTTACCAAACACTTCTTCATTGTCTTCAGCAACATTACAGAATGCACAGATATTTGGGTCTATCACAGCTGGAACAAAAAGTAAAAAGTAAAATAGTATAAAATCAACATGATCTTGAATGTACACACTTGTAAGAGATACTGTGATTCAATCAGATGATTAAATTTTAACCAGGAATTTGGAGTATGCATAGAAAAGTAAGCTACAACATAATTCCTATTTGACAAAATATTATGTAGGACTGATTTCATTGTAACAATATACCGAACCATTAATATGTCACTCATAAAATCATTTTAAAATTGCAAATATTGAATAATGGTAACTGCCTAGGGGAAAACATCTGTTAAATTAATGCATATCATATATGTAGTACATTGTACAATATATCACCTTTTCATACAGACTCTTAAAGCTGAAATTGTTACACTGACTTATGTACTGGACAAAAATTTAACATGAAACAACAATATACAATTGTTTCATAGGTACTGGGGGAACAGTCAAATCATTGACCCGAGGTAGCAAGGAAGACCTAGGTAACTTTTGACCAAGGCTGAAGGCCGCCGAGGGCAACAGTTCCCTAGGTCTTGCCTGCTACCGAGGGCCAAGGATTTGACTGTTGAATGAAACAAATGATTAAAGAAATTTCCTGAATTGTGCGAGTTAGTATTAACAAATCTGTATCAAAAAGACGCTTTTCAGTCTATTCCAGGATTTTTTTTTTATTAAAACAGTCAAAAATACTTCATACACTTAAATAGAGAGTCAGGTAATAATAACTGTTTTTCCTGGTACATACTGCAACAAATATCGGTATGCCTTCTGTTTATTTTACCTCTCGTTATTTAGTATTTCCTATCAACCGTGTGCAGATTATATAATCAGGAAGCTGGCGAAGTCACTCTTCCACCAGGTACCAGACAGGTGAGGTTTGTCTTTGAATTTTTTTGTAATTCATAGAATTGTTGGTTATTTGCCGCCCATCCTTCCATAATTTGATAATCTTATTGCTATTTGAACACCTATTGTGGCATGTTCAATACTATTTTTGGGTATTTTTCTCTTATAATTACCAATTATTTACTTAGTTAACTTCGAGGGGTGTCTTTGACAAATATGTTGCAGGAGACGTGCCGTTCCCGTGCCATGTGAAGTTGACATGGTCCAAGATAGCACTGGAATAGTGGCTTGAAGTTTAATTCTCTTGTCACTTTGAAGACGTTTAGTGATGGTTTCATAATAAGTGGATGGCCCATACTCATAGCTCACGTGGAGAATGTAGAAATGTCAGGCATAACTTGGGAATATGTGGCAGTTGGGCTGCCATATGTTCGATACATGCATCTCATTCGCGATTTCTTGAGAAATTATTGCTGTAGAAAATGAAGTAGGGACAGTTAAGAAATATGTCATTTAATGTAGTCTCAACCCTCTTTGGCCAGACCATGGGTTGTAATTGTTATATCTTTTCTGTTTCGTGTAATAAATTGTCGAACTTTATTTCCGTCTAAGTTGTCATTGTCACCAGTCGTCTATGTATCTTTATATGTTCACACTGGAATCTGCAAGTGAAAGCGGCAGTTGAAATCCTTTTGAGACTGTAACGTGGCTGGTCAGCAACGTTTTGACAATGATCACCTGTGCAAGTTCATTACAATATTACACATGTATATATATATATGTGCTATATCCATATGTCCGGTATAAACAACAACCTTGAACAGAGGTTTGCCATTAATCATTAATTTACTCAGAGAGATAATAAATCACCTGTAACACCCTCTTTTCTTTTTTTGGAGGAAGGCATCTTGATGTATCTGCAAAATATAGCAAATACCGGGTAAGCATCCACATAATATATGACAAGAACGTTACAACTTATGGGGTTATGCAAAGTTTTATCATCAACATTACAATTTGAAAACTCCTGTAACATGACAGCAACTGAAAACAATTCCCAATGCTGACTATGACTTACAACTTTTAAACAAAGACTAGTGCATGGGATGGGACGTGGTGCATTGCTTCATGATCACTGGAATGCAATATTGCAGCTTCCAGAGAATTTTTTGTGAGGAAACATATAACTGTTATGTTTATGAACAATCTCCACCAGCTGTCTCCATAGTAAACAAGGATTTAAAAATTTACTACCTCGTTTTATCATGTCAACATTTAATCAATAACTAGGACCATGTCAAATAACGGATGCATACATTGCCGCCGCCGGATGTGTAGCACCTGTTGTTTTCTTATTCAGTCGTGCTTGCAAGCAACATTTTCCGTCCTTTTAGCCATTCCGTTTTAATTATCATTTTTTTTTGCAAAAATTATGCATCTTGTAAATGTATGTACCTTGATTATTGAATGTATGTTTATAATCGCCTGTCTCTCGTTTGCTAAGTCATCACAAAACAACTCGAAGTATCCATTCCATCGCCGTTTTCAAACCTTGAGGCGGGTGACATTGTCACGTGACATAGAGTCGAGCTCACATTTTGATGACGTTTTTCCAAGATGTCGGCTTCCACGCTGGTGAGTAGTCATATGACAAATTCATCTCAGAATTTTTCTGTATAAACAACAACCTTGAACAGAGGTTTGCCATATTTTAAAATGAAACGGAAGTCACCCCATATTTTGCTGCGGCGTACATGACATGGTATAGCTGCGAAATTAAAGAAATTGCGAAAACTCCATTAAAATTGTTGAAGGGAAATAACTCTTGTTTATTTCCCATCATTATGATAGCAAGCTTCAAAAATAGGCCGTCTCATTCTTTGACTTACACATCGATTTGCATTGCATCAAATAACAACAAAAGATGAGAAGTTCAAGAAACTACAACAAGTTGTTGTGGCCATAAATAGATATATAAACATAAGTGTATATACAAGTTATTATCTTTATCCCTATTGCACCACAGGGGCTCGTTACAAATGTCTGAAATACACATACGCTATACTGATACACAGTGTAACGAGCCCCTGTGATTGCACCTTGCTATTTAGATTATTTCTATATAGTTCTTACAATTAAGATGAATTTGTTAAAAATAGAAAGGATATATAATAACATGTATATAATTAGCCTAATAAATCTTGGTTAATTTGCATCATGATGACCCATTCCAAATTCTGGCTGCGAATAAGTATCAATTAAAGTACTCATAACCTGCCAACCTGTCCTTAAAGCTGTCTGTTGAAACCAGTTTTCTACTGCTTTAATGGATACATTTTAATGTAAATTATAAACGTACAGTATTTTACTAATTTCCTGGGTTTGGTTTAAGCAAGATTTACTTTGTGAAATGATTGTATGACTGCAAGTGTCCTCATACTGCTTGTGAGTTGATTTTTGAACCTCATGTCAGAACTGTTTATTCCCAGATGGAGTTTGCTGTCCAGATGAAATGTGATGGATGTGCAAAGACTGTAAGAAAAGCTCTTGAGGGAGTTGATGGTATGTCAGAGAGACAAGTTCAAAGTTTATTTAGATTATCATGTTCTAATTTTAAGTACATTAATTATCTAAAGACATCTCATTGCTGCATACTTGCTCTGTTATGAAAGTGGATAAAGTAAAGTAATGTAACTATATTACAAATTGCCCTTCAGACTACATTTTGATGACCCTTTTGGATGTTATAGAGCACCTCAGTCCTGGTATTGATAATTTTTAATGTTTACAATTTTATATCATTGTCATCATTCCATGAGGATGTCATAATGTAATGGCATTATTGCAATTGGCTCTCATAAAAATGATAAAGCTACATTTAAAATATGAAGATTGTCAATTTAATGACAATATAGTACATTAATTAATATTTGTTTTATTTGATATGCTATTTTACTTTGTTGCAATGAAGTGAAATACTGAATGTTGTATTTTTAATATGATAATAATAAATGATAATGTGAGTTGGGCTGACAGTATTGTCAATCAACTTTTAAATGACTTCCTTTGAAAATTAGCCACCTAAGCATGAGTTATAGGGAAACAACTAAGAATGAATGCTCACCATATATACAAATATAGTGCATGTAGTAAAAAATAAATAAAATGCTATAACTAAAACTTAATTATAAACATTTCAGGAATTAAATCCGTACAGATAAATGTGGAGAATGAACAAGTGATTGTAGAGGGGACCCTGCCCTCCAACAGTGTTAAAAACCTGATAGAGGCAACTGGAAAACTGGCAGTATTGCAAGGATATGGGTCAAGCACAGGTGAGAATTTAGAATAATGTTATCTAGTTAATGGTTGACACAAGGACTTCATACTCTAAGTTTGTAACCTAACAGTCAATCCTTCTGTTTGTCAGATTCTTTGTCTACATTTCTGATATTTTTTTCTCAGAAAATTCTGTTGGCCACATTCTGTTAAACTTGACACTCATGACCTTCAGTGCAAAATCAAGGATATAGATTGTTTTAGCCTGAGTTTCCTCTGGCCCTGACACCAGATATGGACATTTTGATGGATAGATGTCCTACACCATAAATCTATCCGTCAAAAGGTCTAAGCCTGGCGTCAGGGCCAGAGGAAACTCTGGCTAAGATTGTTTAAGACCAAAACTTTAAATGATGGTATTTTATTGATATTTTGATAATATTCTTCAAAGCGATAAAAGCTGGCGCTTACATATTTCATGTCTGATAGTATTCTTGATATTTTCAAATCAGTGAATTTCAATTTTGTGTTAAAGTTTTAGCATTTTCTGGAAATGTACAGGTTAATTGAAGTTTTGTAATTGCACCATAAAGAGGCAACATCAAGGGCTGCAATGAGATTACTGTAGGGTAATACTGTAAACAAATATTGAGTTCATAACATTTTCTTTTCAAGATATATTTGTATTTAATTTCTAACAGCTTATATACCCTTAAATGTAATCAAATTTTATTCCTAAATCCAGAGGCACCAAAGAGGTCAGAACAAGAAAGTCAATGGTGCAGAAGTTTTACTCAAGTTTCCTGATAGAAATCTTTTAGTTTGGAAATGTATTTCCCAGAGCGCTATTATGATACATCAAGTTAGTGTATAGTGGTGACAGAGGGTCTCCTTTCATAAAACTTGTCTCAGTTGACAGTTTGATTTGTAGAAACTCGACCCAAGCTTACCGCTGCAGCAGTGGCCATGTTGGAAGCAGGGAACCCTAGCATCAAAGGAGTTGTCCGGTTTGTGCAGACTGATGAGGATACCTGTGTAGTAGATGGAACTGTGGATGGACTCCCACCAGGAAAACATGGACTCTTTATACACGAGTGTGGTGATATATCCAATGGCTGTCACAGGTACAGACCTGGAACTTCCAAACCACATACTGTTAATTGGAATGCATTTTTTTGTGAAACTGGTAATTTGTTGTAAAAGAAATATTCATAGTCTAATGGTAAATAAATGAAATACTGCAGTTAACTGGTAATTGTATATTTATATGTTAGTCTGTAAGTAGTATTTTTTTTATCAAATGGCTGGTAAGTCAAATTTTAAGATCAGTTTATGAAAAAAGCATACTTTAATAGAATTATGTTAAAACAAACTTTGCTTAACAATTTATTATCAATACAAGCATGGAGTACGGAAAGTTGATATATTTTATTTAAACTGTAATTTGTCAGTACTTTTTGACATAAAGATGATAAAACTATCATTTGAATTACCAGCACACCTTGTACTGTGTCATGTTTTTTTCACTGTAAAATGTGTTACAATTTGTTTTCAGTTGTGGAGATATCTTTGGAAATATGGGACCATTAACAAAAAAGGTCAGTGTTTTATCCAAATCATAATAATCATTTGATAGAAAATTTGGAATAAGTTTTTTATTCTTCATAACAATAATGCAGGACATAATTCTGGCTATTTGTCTACATATGTGTTTGATATTTGGACCTAGAATTGATTTTCAATATATAAAAGAGAGTTCTAAAAATGTTATTCATGTTTGTGCATGTGCAATGTGTCATTTCTAGTTGCACTTTTACTTATGTTTGAATTATCTCCCCTTTAATGATTGACAGTGTACATGTAATAAGAGATGTAGCAATGGATTCATGACGATATGAGAAGGAGACATAAATACAAACTAAACTTTCTTGTTATTTTTTTTACATTTAAATTGAACTTATAAAATTATGTATAGTTTGCTTCATTCATCCTTAAGATAATTAAGTCTCTGTCATAAATCAAGCTAAAGAAATACTATATGTAGTAAATACAATTGTATGTCCTTTGTTGCAGGTGGCAGGAGCTATGGGCGATATAGTGGTCCACCCCAATGGGCGGTCAGAGTTCCATATGATCAATAAAAATGTTAAGGTCTGGGATATGATTGGCCGGTCAATGATTATTCACGAGGAAGACACAGATGCCCGCATTCAAAACAAAATAGAGAATCGGTAATTTACAAATGTGTTCTTCTTAAATGTGAGAATGTTTTACACATAGGGTGTTTTCATCTCTCTAAATAGGGCTTATGTTAAGAATTTCTCTCTTTGAACACCAAATAATTCTTTTAAAAAACAGTCAAAATTGTAACTTTATTAGGGTACAAACACTAGAGTAGGAATCGTGTGGAGATATTGTCAAAAAGTAGTATTTGTATATTACTTTGTTCTGTTACACACTTAGTTACTTTGTTAAACAGTGTAAAACAGTGTCATACTTTGTTACTCTGTTCTGTTACTCCTATTGGTGCTTTATTCTGTTACAGTTTAACGTGTGGTATCATCGCTCGGTCAGCAGGTGTGTCTGAGAACAATAAGAAAATCTGCTCCTGTGATGGTGTTACTTTGTGGGATGAGCGAAATGTTCCCTTGGCTGGGGAAGGACGCCAGTCTAAGATGTAATCTGATGAATAAAAAGGAAATGAGACCCAATGTAATGAAAAACATTTGTTCCTTGACATATATTTAGTTTCCAGAAAAAGGTTTTACACAATGTAACTTAAATGAAGACATCAGTGATTGCTTATATCATTGTGACTATCTTATAACATACATGTTGTTATCATTTCTTTTATTGGACCTCAGGGTCTATTTAATTGAAATGAATAAATATTAAAAAAATAAACATGAATATACAATATAAGTATCTGCCCTGAAATGCAGAATACAATTCTTATACAAGGTTCTGATGCAGATGATTTAAACTGTTGTGTTCAAGTGTGTTTGTCAATGGATGAAGAATTTAAACAATTTTTCATGGGATGCGATATGCTGATAAAACAACAGAAAATATTTATGAAATTGAAACTTAATGTGTTGGCTTTGCCTATAAATGTACAACATTTAAGCAATGGGATGAAACTTCTTGACTGTGATGCTCATTTATGTTTTGACCCCGTCAACTTCTTTCATGTGAATGGTAAACCAGCAGTGAGAACAGATCCAAACTTTCACCATTGACTCTATCATTGTTGCTAAAAACCAGTATAATATTGACTCTATTCTTGTTCCTGAAATTTGCTTTATTATCAGAAAAGCGACGAATGTGATTGTTGTGGTAAGTGTATGTGTTGATACTTACTGAAACATTAGAATTAGTCCCTAAATCATTCACTCCTGAAGAAACATTTGAACTCCTCCAATATAAAGGTTGGAATAGTTCATTATGATTTCAGGGGTGAATGAGTTAACCTTTTATAGAACACTGGTCTGTGCAACACATTTCTTACATGCATAAATATAACTTTTTATTGTATTTTATATGTATATGTATAAGTAACATTTCATGTGTGGAGCATCTTACTATGTATATTCACTTATGTAATGTATTTGCTTTCTGGACACGCAAAATATCCTTTGCTTTGTTAGATGTCAGTAAATCTATATTGATGTTTTTGATTAATTTTAATGAGCAATGTATCAGTTCGGAGTATCTGAGTTTTGATTTGAGTGAGATAGTGTGCTATGAGTGAATGCGTGCAGGGTCACAGATTGGTGTACACTATTTATATTAATTTAAAAACCAAAAGGTATACTTTGAGATTTTATGAATGAATGTTTAATTGGAGTAACATACATGTATTTATATGTGAAATTGCAATGATCTTATTTTATTTGATTCAAGGCACACTGTTTGATTGAGTAAACAGCGCTAAGTTATACAAATATGTCCATGTCTTTACTAGTAATAGATTGTAATATCCAGGACATAAATGAAATAAAAAACCACAAAACATCTGACTGTTATGTTATCATTGCTGTGAGAAGTCTGCAGACCTGTGACAGACAAAACTTTCCCCATTAAAAGTCTGTGCTCATATTTATCTTAGACTCGCTGGATACAACAACTGTGCTATTAAAAAAAGCTTGTCATTTAAAGTTGGGAGACAAAAACGTCACCAGACTAATCAGAAACATAGTCCTTGCAAATCAAAGTCGGCAAATACATGGGTCATTAATTTACACAAATTTAATTTGTTAACCGCTTGCAGAAAAAGATTCAATGGGTAAACAATTATAGCTACAACTCAAGATTTTAAGGGCTCGAGTGCATTGGCTTGTTTGTGTAAATAACAACTATAAATATATTTTTTTAAATGTGTGAATTTAATGATACTAAATAATATCATAGATTTCTTCTTTTTTCTAAATTTCAAACAACTCTCCAAAGCATTTCAAATTAACAAGGTCATTATGTGATACTATCATACAGGCTATATACCCTGGAGTCTCTGGGTTTTTATTTGATTATCATATTTTGCAAAATAAGTACTTTGGTTATCAGTTGTATCAGAGACGTATAATACGTCTCTGGTTGTATTTAAGATCCATCAAAGCATTTTCTTTTGGAAATTTTCAATTTTCAAATTTACCGCAAAATAATAAAGAAGTTATGTCCCTTGTCCTAGCTCTTCCACAATAACATAAGAAGACGAAAACATTGCACAGTTCCAGTTCTGGAAGAAGAAAACATTGACATTTGTTTTTGGACGACAATATCGGGAGATAAAAGTATGAGACGCATGCCATCTGAAATAACTGCTTGACAATCGATATATGGTTTATACAAATAATGCACATTTGTGATTTTCATATATAGGCCTAGCAGTCGTAGAAATATCGGGATGACCAACTCGTGATGCCGATCTTACATATCATCTGTAGGCCTAATCCTGCTGCGGAAATACAGATGATTTGAATTGGGATGGATATGACTGTCCCTGCTGACATTTGGAGGAATTGATATTGCAGTAGAGGAATAACTGTCATCCTGTAATTGATACTTAGAAATGTTTTGAAGTTTTACCCAAATAACTGATTTCTAATGCAGGATTTCACACAAATTCTTAAATAAAGCAGTTCCCTGTCCATGTCAACAGTCTTTCCTCGTAAAGATCTGGAGAATCAGGCCTAATCTAGTACAACAAAGGGCATCCCTCTTAGAAAATTTGAGAGGCGGGGATGGGCAGGAAAATGTATGAGAGACTCACTAGAAGGACTGTACTTGTACTGTATTTAAAAACCATGAGTCTCTTAAAATTGAGCAGCTATGTGACAAAATCCAACAGGGTGTTATTGCTTGTCCCCAACAACTGACATCAGATGAACTATTGTAAAATATTGACTTTTACCTCACCTGTCATAAGGGACAAAATGAGCTTATGCTGTGGCATGGTGTCTGTCTTTTGTCTATTGTTTAAAATACTACCCCAACACACCTGTGGTGGGGGCACAATCCTCATTAAACATGTTTAGCCCCCTGGAGCCATTCTAGACTAGTGTTGATCTTGAGGCTCTGATTGGCAAGTGGTACTCCGCTTAGTGTAAGTTGAGGTTATTGGTTCAAAGTATCTTGACTTCTGATCATGACCAGAAGAACACTCAACAGTGTATAAGTAAAATGTATGGCTATGCTATTGGGATATATAAACACTCTCATTACGAAATGTTTGCCTGTTCTCAGTTTATATTAATTGTACTTCTTTGTATTTTGATATTTTTTAATGTACACATTTTTGACACATTTAAAGTTTTAAAAAAATCAGGTGACCTATTTAAGGCCCCAGGATTTCTTGTGAAGTTATTTTCTTTGATTTGAATGAAATGTTATATTTCTTTCCTTTGCTTAAGGTGTGTGGATTTGATGTAATAGACATGTCTAGGCTGTGGGATGACTAAGACCTCAGATTCTGTGATGTCGAGCTATGAGCGTCTTTCCGTTTGGCTCCTAGTACCTGCATGCATCCTCTACAGCCTAGCCTTAGTGTCTCATGCCTGGTTTGAGTTACCAGGCGTTTTCTATGGTCTATGGTGGGCTGAGTTTTGTGACTACCTTTCATGTCAAATCATACCAGCTTTCTTCACAGAAGAACCAGGTACATGTTCATTATAATGATCAAGTAAGCTAAAAGTAGCCAAAACACAGTACACAGCTAAAAATCCTGATTACATTTGTATTCAGAATAATGTTTTCAAGTTAAAGAGCAAGGGCTGTATTATTATATCAACTTTACTGTGTTTTTAACCAGACAGAGTATAAAAACATTTTCAAGATGCATATCAAGAAGCTGGACCAGATTCATTGACACTACTTGGTCCACATGTTTGAGAACAACATTCTATAAGGCTGCCACTCTGGGTATATCTGCAGAAAACAGCCTCTTTAAAACAATAAATGGAGATATTGTATGTGTTCTTTTATTTATCTGGTTTGATATGGTAGACTGTAGATGAATGATTAGAATGGTTTGACAGCAGTCTTGTTCCAGAAAAGTGTATGTATAAATTGATTCCAGGATAATTTGGGATACAAAAATGAAAACAATATCAAAATCTACATGTTTGTGTGTCAGTATTGCGAAATCATTAAGTGCTCTCCATTTTGACCCTTGTTGTTTCTTTTCCAGTATGGTACCACATTCTACAGTTGGTGAGCCTATTTGGAATGGTTGCTATGTCTGTGTGTCTGGCACTATTGGTCACCAAAAGGTGTGACTTCTTCATACCTGAAAAAATGAGAAGGCAACAAACTGCATCCGCTATTGGATTGGCATCTGGTAAGTCTTAAAAACTGGTGAGTCTTAAAAATAATTATTGAGACATGTTTGCAAAATTACTTTGTGAAAAAACACAATTTCAGTTATATTTTGAAAATCATCTTAATTAATACATGTCTTGTTTATTTAATGGTTTCCTTTTTAGCCCACCATCATCTGATGGTGGGCTATTCAAATCACCCTGCGTCCGTCGTCCGGTGTCCGTCCTTAATCAATTCTTGTTATCGGTATTTCTCAAAAGGTACCAAAGGGATCTTTCTCAAATTTTATATGTATATAGGTTCTCCATGGTCCTTAGCTGTGCAGGGCAACTTTTGAGACTGATCGGATACACAACATGGCCGACAGGAAGCCATCTTGGATTTTGATAGTGAAAGTTTGTTATCACTATTTCTCTGGAAGTACCCAAGAGATTTACATATTACAAACATTGTCATGTTATTTAAATGTGCTGAAGCATTGTGTTAAATGCTGTGGAAATATTTCTTCCCAAAATTATTTGGGCCACCAATATGTCATTTGGGCCAGTGCTTCAAATTTTTTACTCGGCCAAACAAAATTGGGGGCCAGCCAATGCAGGTTCCCCAATATCCTTTATTGTTCATGTTTACTTTTGAAACTGATCAGTTAAACAAAATGGCCTACCGACAGCCATCTTTGATTTTTGACATTGAGGGTTTGTTAGTACTATTTCTCAGGAATAACTTGAAGGATCTTGGCTAAAGGAAGAACTAAACAGATCTTTCTCGTATTGTAATGATCGATTCTATTTCTTTCACATTAAGTACTGTATACTAGTAAATATGTGAAATGACAAACTCACTTTGAAGGTTGGCTTTCATACACATCAGTATTAAGTTTAGATTAAAAGTTACCTCAAGGTGCATTTACTGTTAACATGACTCAATCAAACAGATTAAAGGAAAGAAGAGAAAAGATCAAACTGACAAAGAACTAATGAAGATGGTACAATTGTGGGCGCCAAGATCCCTCTGGGATCTCTTGTAATCAGTGTACAGAGCTGCACTGCTAGACAAGGATATATGTGATCATCTGTATAAAGCTTTCCTAGTATAAGGGGTTCAATGTCTCTCTTTTCAGTGTTTGCTATATCCCTGGCCCTGATGATGTTCTATGGGAAACTGGACGAGTCAAGTCCACGGGCAAGTCCCCAGATCCGCTGGTCAGCTGTGATTGCCGGAACAGCTTGCCTCCTTGAGTTCGGAGCAGCACTTTTGCTATTGCAGACATAAACAGACTTATGAATATTTTGTTGAAATGTTTGTTCTTACTGTTCTGTAGTTATCTTTATGGGAAAGGGAACTATTGACATATGTATAATTTGCTCTTAAATATATGAAGGCTGAAGAGGAAACCATCCAAGAAAATAACATTTTGGATGCCGATGTTGGGGAAGTTGCAATAAAGGGATACATTCAAAGATAATAGTCACATTCTTAATATTTGATAATTGTCATTAACAAATGTGGAGAAAATAAGTACATATGCAAGGGCTATACTTTTCTGGATGGGAAGGCAGGTGTTAAGATAGTTCCTCACACACACAACAGCATTACTCACATTATAGAAGGAAGATGAGTGAGATATGAGTACCATCCTGTGACCGTCCGTCCATCCTTATCTGCCTGCATAATAAATTTGTCATTAAATCTCATAAACTTTCCTGTGAATATGTAAAACTAATAAAGTTATCAAATTGCCCTCTTGTTTGAGGTATGAAACGTATATTGTATATAAGAACAAGTTTTGATGATAAATGTGGTTACAAGGTCATTAATGTAATCCCACATTTCAAGATAAGAACATTTACAAAATGTGTGCCATAATAGTTGTTCATGATAAGGTTACAAGCATAAAATGTGTTCCTTGATTCCTCTGTATGATACAGTCAAACTTCAATGTTTCAAACTTTGTGGGACCATCAGGAAAAATTTGAAACATCGAAACTTCAACTCCCAAATGTTGAACTTCGAACATCTTTGATAATGTTGTACATGTATATGCATTTGTACTGCATAAGACTTAATGTGACTAAACACAAGGCATGAAATCATCTAAATTGAAATCTATGAATATTGGATTTAATGTATTAAGAAAAATATGCTTATATGCATTTATACGCTGTAGTTTTCATGTTTAGGTGTTAAAATGACCCCAGGACATTTCAATGTTCTGTAAAGGTAATTGTTTAATTTTGATTTGTTGTTCAAAAGAGCAACATATTTGACTCATAATAGTTCATAAATGGAATATTAGTAGTGTTATTTAAAGAAAACAATTCAGACTTTGGGGTAAGTTCGACACATTGAGAAATTTGAATCTTCGAAGTTCAATTCATTTGAGTTTGACTGTATAATGTATATGCTAGTATAAAATTTAAGTAACACACTTGTGTATTGATAATGTGTACATAAATTACTTGATAGTTAACGTTTCTGCCATATTTTCTGTGGTTCAATTTTGTCTGGGTTTTTTTGCAGATAATTTATTGGATTTTATACTAATTACTTTCGTTTTTGTTCCGTTCAAATTATTGTTTTGTTATAGGTTTGCAAAGTATCAAACTGCAATATCGTGTAATGTTTTGAAACCATAATTAGATCTGTTACTTTATATGGATATTCACATGAACATTTTTTTTAAATAGGTGCAAACATATCCTTTGGTATTCACGAAGAATTTCATTAAGATAGAAATAAAATTAATGAAAATTGATGAAGACACTTACTTTTTTGACACAAGCTTTTCAAATGGTCTGTCAGACCTAACAGCTAACAGTATTGTTATATAAGTCTCCAGTGCTTATTTGACCTTGGCTTCAACAGGAAGTTGAGAGAAACTGGGAGTTGAGGGAGAGTGAATACCAGCATACTTTATTGACAGGCTGTATCTGTATATCCTTTTAATTGTGAGATTGATGGCAGAAAAATGTATCTGTTTGAACGTTTTTTTTATCCTCCTCATACATTCATTGTGTAGTACCATGTACATGTTTACTTAACTACTTTACACTTGATCACTGTAGATTGTGATAGTATAATGTCAATGGTAGTGATTGATATATGTGTAACTGACTCCAGGTCTGGAGCATCTGTAACTGGTTGTTGAGGTTGGAGTGTCTGTAACTGGGTATGGGGTCTGGAGTGAAAGTAATAGGCTGTAAGAACTGGAGTATTTGTCCAAGAGGTCTGAAGTAATTGCAGTTGGGTGAGAGGTTTGCAGATTTTGTAATGGTTTTGGTCTTGAGCTTTGCCTTTTTAGAGATACACGTACTTAAAAAAGAGAAATCAAAGATGATTTAAGATAATTGACTTTAGAACAGACTGCTGTAGATCAAAATATTTGTTTGAAAAGATGTTTTGGATCTGTCATTCTGCTACCACTTGCCCTCCACCACTGAGTCCCGGGTTTGAGGCCTACGTGGGGCAGTCGCCAGGTACTGGCCGTAGGTCGGTGGTTTTTCTCCGGGAACTCAGACTTTCCCCCACCACCAAAACCTGGCACTTCGTTAAATGACCATAACTGTTAATAGGACGTAAAACTCAAACAAACCAAACCAAACATGGATATTTTATTTTTACAAAAACGTATGTAGTGATATGTACAGCCCTTTTTCTGAATCGCAATATTTTTCAAAAGCATATTTTCATGTATCTGCTTGGTGTTTTAACTTTGCAAATTGCTACAAATTTTAACAGATATGCCAATAAGCATAAAGCAGGCTTTTGATAGTTCAAATTTTGTAATCATTGGTTGGTTTGGCAAAAGTCTTAAATCTATGTAATCCATATTATATATGATTAAGTTTGATAACATTCTGACAACAACTTATTATAAAATTGAGCACATCCTTCCTATGACAATAAATCGGGATACGTATCGCAATATATTCATTCTGTATTGCAATATATCGTGATACACTCTTGGCGTATTGTGACACCCCTAGTTTTGCACAGGTATGATTGAACAGTGTGTAACAATACACCATTATGTGATCAACAATATTTGAAACCATTCCTTTTGCCTAGTAAAATAGTATTTACAATAATAAGGAAATGTATACCTCTGTGATCTGATTACACTTGTACTTGCTTTGTGTTATTTCAGTGATTTAAGTATCTGATTATAACAAAATGGTATAAACAATGATGTCCAAATGTATAAGCATATCAAAGAAGTATTGGTGTACAGGTACATAATGGAGCAGTCAGTTCCACATGATTAACCTTCTATAAAAGAAGATACTAGTAAGATGTTATTTTTTGTTTTCTGTTGTGCTGGTTATTTTTTATGGCTATAAGTAAAATTGTGCGTATACCTGTAATTTTCTGTATGCTTTGGTTCACAAAATTGCTTTGGTTTATAAAATTGCTTTAATTTACAAATTGATGGAATTTGTTTAATATTAAAATTTGCTTTTCCACCAAGATGAATCTGCAACAGCAAATTTGTTGGAAGTAATTTGGAGCTGATACATCACTATTATTTGTTGTATATATATGTAACTGTCAAAACATGTGAAAGACACATTCAATACCAAAATTTATGTATAGAAACTGGTGTATATGCAATATGTATGCATTGATTCTTGTATACGTTTGATTTACCAGGTAATATAACTTATGTGCAACACATATATAGGTAAGAACAGTTTTGTTGTATTTTTGTACTAACCATATTTAACATTTAGGATGTTTTGTTTTAGTTCAGGTACTATATCAGACCTGTGTGATTGTAAGATTTGACCATGTTGTAGGGACATGATAGTCACATTGTGACTGTACTCTGATCCAATGTTTTTACTCAGGACTCCTTACAAGGTTATTTTTCTGTGCTTTTAGGATTTTAATCTGTTTTTGCCATTTCATTAACATAACAAATTGAACAAAAGCTTAGTGATTCACAAAACTGCCATCAATTATCGAACAGATTTACTTTTTAGAAAGTTTGTTTTTCTGCTGACGTTTATCCTTCAGTCAAGTTCAATAAATCTGCCAGGACAGCATCTAACATTGGGAAAACAGTGTAGTAATATACTCTACTGACACACAATCCAATACCCTTTGAAAATACTCTTCTGACAGTTAATTTCAGATATCATTAAATACCAACGAATAGGGAAAGAATTTGCAGCAAAGATTTTTATCAGTATGTGATATTTAAAGTCAATATAACACCTCATTGTTGAAAAGCTATATTTTTAGCTTATTGACACTTTCAGTTCACAGGAAATCATGTAACTTGTAAAACATATTTGCTGTTCCATCAGTAAAGCATAGTCTGTAAATATAAGTGTTGGTCGAATGATAAACTTAAGCAGAACATGGGATGCTTATTTCACAAACCACTTTATGGTTCATAAGTGACATGTGATATGAAAACATTCAAACTTTTATCATGAATTTTCTGGAAGCCATACCAGACTAGTTCACCCTGAAAGTTGATGCTGTTAGACGGCCCTTTGCAGTTGTTATGTAAATGTAAAAAGTACCTCATGCTGTACAAACATTTATTCTTAATCAAATCCTCAGGGGAAAATACAGTTTAAATATCATATTGTTGAAAGGCATTTTTGAAAATATATCCCCCTAGCTTCCAACCAACTCCCAAGCTAGCAACAATGTTTTGAGGGGATGAATCTGCCTGTCTTAAGATATTAAGTCCCTCAATTTCATAATGTTTCTTTGAACCTTTGTAAGCATACTCTTAATCATTATGCATGTTCATCATATTGATCATGTGATTTCATTCAAATTTGAGGATCTTCTTGTGCTGAAAATTTTCTTAAAGTGACTTGGTGCTGATGTTCAGATGAGAAGGCTATCATTTATTAGCATTGAAGATAATTTTGGATGTAATGTGAGGTTGTATACGTATATCAGTGGCGTACAATGATGTATTTGTCAAAGCTCTACCAGGGAGTGGTATTTGTCAGTGCTGTACCATGGAGTAACATTTATCAGCGGTGAACTATGGAGTGTTATTTGTCAGTGCTGTACCATAGAGTGTTATTTGTCAGTGCTGTTCTATGAAGTGGTATTGTCATTGCTGTTCCATGGAGTTGTTTTGTCAAAGCTCTACCATGGAGTGGTATTTGTGAGTGGTGTACCTTGGAGTGGCATTTGTCAGAGCTGTTCCATAGAGTTGTATTTATCAGTGGCAATTGGTATTTATAAGTGGTGTACCATAGAGTGTTATTTGTCAGTGCTGTACCGGAGTGGCATTTGTCAGAGCTGTTCCATAGAGTTGTATTTATCAGTGGCGATTGGTATTTATAAGTGGTGTACCATAGAGTGTTATTTGTCAGTGCTGTACCATAGTGTTATTTGTCAGTGCTGTACCAACATATTATTTGTCAGTGCTGTTACATGGAGTTGTATTTATCAGTGGAGATTGGTATTTATAAGTGGTGTACCATGGAGTGGTTTTTGTCAGTGCTGTACCAACGTATTATTTGTCAGTGCTGTACCATAGTGTTATTTGTCAGTGCTGTATCATAGTGTTATTTGTCAGTGCTGTACCATAGAGTGTTACTTGTCAGTTCTGTTCTATGGAGTGGTATTGTCATTGCTGTTCCATGGAGTTGTTTTGTCAGTGCTGTACCATAGTGTTATTTGTCAATGCTGTACCATAGAGTGTTACTTGTCAGTGCTGTACCAAAGTGTTATTTGTCAGTGCTTTACCATAGAGTGTTATTTGTCAGTGCTGTATCATAGTGTTATTTGTCAGTGCTGTACCAAAGTGTTATTTGTCAGTGCTGTACCATAGAGTGTTACTTGTCACTTCTGTTCTCTGGAGTGGTATTGTCATTGCTGTTCCATGGAGTTGTTTTGTCAGTGATGTACCATGGAGTGGTATTTATCAGTGGTGTACCATGGAGTGTTATTTATCAGTGGTGTACCATGGAGTGGTATTTATCAGTGTTATTCCATGGAGTGGTAATTATCAGTGGTGTACTACCATGGAGTGGTATTTATCAGTGCAGTTCCATGGAGTGGTATTTTTTAGTGCAGTTCCATTGAGTGGTAATTGTCCGTGGTGAACCATGGAGTGATTATACGTGTATGTCAGTGTTGTACAATGAAGTGGTGTTTTTGCTGTAATAAATGATGTAAAAAGTTACTGAATATCAGTATAATGAACTTGAAACTAAAAAGATGTATGATTGGGTGAATCTTAATGTTAAAACAAAAATGTTGCGATAGATATAGATGTACACAATAACAAATTATACTGTAAACACACACCACACACAGTAGCTCTAAATTTCCAAAGGTCTGTCCAGTAGAAAAATTCTTTACTGAAGACATTTTTCAAAGACCAAAGTTTTCTGTGTCGATCCAGATTTAAATTACATGCATACACACCTGAGTGATGGAATATATGGTCTGTCAAAATGATATATTGTCTCAAATGCATTTTAATATAAAGTTTTTCCCTGTCATATTCTTTGTACAGAAATTGATCAAAATCACTTAGAATTCAAATAATGTAAGTAGCTGGCCAATATATTAGGTACTAGAGCAAGAAAAGTTGTTTTGATTATGTAAATGCTTGATTTGCCTAATCCTTGGGGTGCATTTTTAGGTCAGATATGGTATATAAATGCTGAATAATATAACTCCAAGTTCTTTTTGAATTTTTAATAAAATGTTATGTAACTAACTTTGTGTTCATGAATGAGTAAAAGCTACCCAATTTTTTTGTTGAACAGATAACACGCTTGCCTTCTTGCCATTTTTATATTGTCCATTTTGTTTTTCAAATCCAAGCATTTTTATCTATGTGGTAATTTATGTAAAAATCATTTTTTTAGCAATTTTTAGCTCACCTGCCTAAAGGGCAAACAAGGTTATGCTGTGCTGTGACATCTGTCCTCTTGTCTGTCAACTTTTCAGGTACAAAAGTACTTGTCCAGAATGACTGAATGAATTTTTAAAAAAAATGTGTATAGCAAAACAAATATTATCGTAGAGTGCACAATTCTATCAATATGGGTGAAGGAATTTTGTCCTATTAAGATTTAAAAGTTCTTGACCAAGGCGACTCGGCTTTGTTTGATTGAAGAATTTGACCCCCTTTTGGAAAAATGGATTCAGCCACATAAGGGGGGAAAGGGATAAATTATAATACGCATACATACAATATTTGAGGGATGGGAGAACATTATGCTTATTTAAATTCCTAGGCAGTGGCATGAGATCCAAAGACCAATCTGGGGAGGTTTCAAATTTTTGAGTTTGAAACAGGAAGAAAAACCCATGGTTTTCAAAGATAAATTAAATGTGGCATGCAGGTGCTGAAACCAAAAAAATCTCTCTGGATCTGCCACTGCTATATGTATATAAATATTGAAAAGACTGTAAAAAGATGTAATTAAGGAGTACTGATAAATCTTCAAAGAGATATATTACTAAATATTTGCTTACTCTCAATTTTTAATATATTATGCTCTTTTGATATAAATAATTATGAACCATCTATTTGACTTAATATAAGCACGGAATTAGATTATCTAAGTCTGTGATATAAGTAAAGAACAGGTGAGTTGTTCAGGTCCCTCAGAGCCTCTTGTTTGAAATTTTATAATAAAATGTTTTGAGAAAACAAATGTTTGTTAATTTTTTGTTCGTAATTCAACTTTAAACTTTTTTGTTTGTTTAAAGCTATTCTTAACAAAGACCAACAGGTGTATTTTAATTTTGTAAAATATTGAACTTATTTTAACAGTTATATTCCGGATGTTAGTTCCCGTCGTCCAGTAAATTTATTAGACTTTTATTATCCAGAACGAGGCATCCCGCGAAAATCGGTTCGCGGCAAAACAAGGAGGATGTTTACAAATATATTTACACGATCTACTGGTGAAAATCGGATCAAAAGGGGTAAAGTTGCACTAAATCACTCTCTTCCGAAGCCATATTACTATTATGAAGTTGTTTTAATGTGAATCTCTTGTTCGCTGTCACAGGAAATAGTCGTGCCGGTAACTTACCCATTTGATCGTAATCACCATTGTACACACGGCCCAGTACAACTTACAATACAGAAATACAGCATGTCCGAGTTCCATAATGTGACCATAGGAGCCTGAAGTGCTGTCAATAATTAATAATAACAGTAATAAAAAAACAATAATATGCTCATCGTAGCATAAACACTCACTGGATTGTGAAAAATCGGAAAGAAAACGTTAGTTTACATTACACTGATTACATCACAGGTGTTTCACTGTTTGCAATTCTGACTGCAAGTTGAGATATAAAGGCCTATGTATAACAAAGAATAAGGGTATATACTATTAAAAAAAAGTATATACCCTTATTTTTTTTATGATATATATATATCTCAATTTACAGTCAGAATTTCAAACACATGTGATTACATAGAACCCTGATGCCCGCCCCTCAATCGAATGTTTATACAGGTGTACCAGGATATGCATAAAACTGTTTACGAGCGCCATTTAAATTAGTATTGAAGTTAACGCAAAATTTCATATTTTATATCACTATTTTCAATGCATGTTGGCACAAAATCGAATTATATTATAACCACCTGTGGTAAAATGCTGCAAATACGTACAGTATACCATTCCATGCTATCTCCTTATCTTCTCACGTTTATCAAACATTACTAACATATTCTTCACATTTATTTAATTATAATTAACATAAACCTGCCAAAACAATTATTCCAAATATGTATATTCCACGCATACTTTGGAAGAACTACATTTTCGCAACCAATTTTGTATCGCTCCTGAAGCAATGGCATGATGCAGTCACATATTTGACTATCTGTCTTATGATGGTGAAATATCGTACTAGTCATTGAAACATCACATATAAACACTTATTGGTTGATCTACATGAATCTTTTCACAATCCATACTTACCAACCTGAAGAAAATGTTAAGAAACATAATTGATAGTTCCACAGATGCTGCAGTGTTCCCCCTGAAGTTTTGAAATAGGTGTATGACTTAAAAAGAATAGCTGGTGTATTACATATATGTTCACATGCTTTATGTTGACGGTCCTATACATATTCTTAAATTGAAAGAAATAGCCAGTTCAAGTGGATAAATAGCAGGCTACTCGTGTCTGTATTTACCTAGAAAATTTCACAAGTGTTTTTGTTATTGCAGGTTTCAGCAAGCAAATAGATACATCCAACTTCTTAGAATGTCTGGAATGTTACAGGACGGATGAATATATGATAGTTGGTTCTGATGATGGGGTTAGTATCATTACCTTCATGTACTGGTTTGTGTAAATCACTAATTAATGCAACATTCATTTTACTGTAAATTACAACATTTCAGGAGATGCCTTTAAACAATTTTTGTGAGGATTTTAATTGTGAAAGATTTATTAATATTGATTTGTGACGACATACAATAATCAATACTTAGTTTCTTGGATTGCCTGTATATGGTATTGTGGATTCAAGCAAAGTTCATTGCTCCTTGACCTGATTTTCTATGCAAACCCCTCTGTTTAATTAGATTGCTTTTGCTTGGCACTTTCAGACTTCTTGGAGCTTCCCAAATTATAAACAAAAGACATTAATACTTATGATAAAAAAAGAACCCAGGCCAGGGTCATAAGGTTTGCTCACAGTCTAATGATAACGAATAGCAGTGGCTGATCAAGGCTGCCCCTTAACCTTTCAGTTTTACACCAAGAGGAAATCATCCCACTTTTGATGTAATCTATATTCAGCTTCTGACAATGCAAGTTCATGTCAGTTGATAGCTTTAAAGGTTTTATAACATTTGTTAAGATTATAAACCCTGGGAAGCTGTTGTCTTTCTGATTGCATTGGGAGTTTGTAAAGACTTGTGTTTATCAATGATGTTGAGCAAAATTTAACCCCTTCAAATTTATTCTGAGAGCAAAATAAAAAAGTAGACCAAACAAATGTAGTTAATGTCTTATTACTTAATGTATGATTCATACCTCTTAATATCAATAATACTCACTGGTATACATGTACATCATATTATCTTTTGTAGGCTCTTGTTCCACCAATTGCCTGTGAATTTTCAAGTAAGTATTTTAATCGGAAAATTATGAGTGGGTGGCTTCATATATGTATGTGTGTATACTGATTGTGTCTCTTATACGCTAGCACTTAAATAGCTGGTCATTTATAGTCTGATAACACAACTTGACACCTGGTACAGGTGTACATGAATTCAATGAAAGATACCGGTTCCGTTTTTAGCTCACCTGCCCAAAGGGTGTTGCTGAGAGACAGAACCAATATTTGGAAATATTTGTAGTACAGTATGATATTTATTTAATATTTTGCTATGACTGCTTTAATATCCAGGTGAGCGTTGCAGGCCTAGAGGGGCCTCTTGTTACTCTGCACAAACCTGTACATGTCTTAAAAGACAAGTATACAATAAACTTCGAATGTACTTCTATCCAATGCTTTATTGAAAAGGACAAAAACAATGTTTTTTTCACAATATATCATACAACTTGTCATAATGATCATTTTTTCATTTTGATTAATTTTAATTGATCTCTGTTTTGTTGATAATTAGTCAATTTATGTTTAATTTTTGTTTTAGAGCAAGGCCTTGGGAACATCCTAGCTTTGGTAGATGAAAGTGGGGGCACCATCATACAAGATACAAATAAGACAGGTCAATCTGCTCTCCTCTCTGGTAAGTCTATTACAGCATCAACCTAATCTGTCTGTAACAAAGAGTTACATCCACCAATCTTTCTGGTGTTGTATTGTAGCAACATCTTTTATGTCAATCTGTCTGGGCATATCTTCTAAACGAATGTAGATAAATTATCGTTAAATGTTTATAGTAAAGTTTCAGTGTTCCTGTAAAGATGGGAAATTACATCAATATCTTTACATCCTCTCCTGTTTGCTGTCATGTCAAAATCTGAAAATGCCCTAATATTAACCCTTTTCAGATTGGCAGGCCCACAGTAATGCTATATTTGATCTGGCATGGGTTCCCTTGGAGAACAAACTGGTAACAGCGTCGGGGGATCAGACAGCGGTGTTATGGGATGTGCCTACAGCCGAGAAACTGGACGTGTTCAAGGGCCACACCAGCAGTGTCAGGACAGTGGCATTCAGGAGTGATGACTCAGGTAAACATCATAACCAAGCCTCTCAGCCAGATTGTTGTGTAATGTAAAATAACTTCAAAGGGATCAATCATACTTATACTTTATGACTGGAAAGTTCTGTGTGCTTGTTTTCTATTCAGTTATCAGCTTGTCATGATATGGTACTTTTTAGTTGAATAGAAATACAGTTACTATTATTATATAATTTATATGAAGTTAGTTATGAATATTGTTCAAAAATATCCTTTCTAATTGTGTTAAGGATTGAGACAAACTGTGCTAAGTTTCTGTTCAGAGAATACTGGCTGATATATGCCTAGACAACTTCAGAAATTTAAAAACTTAGAAATTTAAGTCTCCTCTTCCTTATAAATGTTTCTGTTACATTTTAATTGTTTTATCCTAATTAGTATCAAACCAGATGTAAGAAACATATTAGGACATCTAGCCAGTTGATAAACTACTGTTTAAATGGCATTGACTGTTCCAAAAACTGATTCAATAGATGAAAAGAAACTTGTACATGTAGTGGCCACAGTATGTATCTCATTGACTTAAGCTTGTGGTCTGATTACCTTACAGCTGTGTTCGCTACAGGATCCCGAGATGGACATGTAATGGTATGGGACACCAGGTGTAACAGAAAAGGTAGGACAATTCTTTACATGAAAAAGAAGGAAGAATTTTTGAAAGAGTTTTAAAACATTAGTAGTGGTATTTGAAATTTAGGATTAATATAATAATATGACCTATAACTGCTGTAATTTTCAAACAGCAGAAGACATCTTGATGAAAATTGAACTATACATGCATCACCCTCAAAAGGTTTGCAGTGCGCACACTGTAACTAGATCAGTGACCTTCACCTTCAAGTGTAAATTTAAATCTTGTCCAGACCATAATTTAAACTGAACTGTGAAAGTATACCTGCACCACCCATTGAAGGTGTCGGAAGCGTAAAGTTTTAAGTGAAATCTTGTGCACTATATTTGGGTCATCAGAATAGTCACCTCTAAAGTCAAAGGTCAAACTAGTGCAATTTATTTAACTGATGTCTTTCCCAAAAAGTATCATAACATGGAATAAACACTGAGCTGTTCATGATATGGAAAAGTTCATGTTTTCGAGTATAAAGCAAACACTCCTTGAACAGTGTATATATATTATATGCTGTCAAGTTTTCCAATTAGTTTGTAATGCTTTATTCCTTACAGATGGATTTCTGTCACCTGTTAATACTATACATAATGCCCATGCATTACAACAAACATCTGTACGCAAACCCCGAAACAGGCAAAAGCTGGGACCTGCCAGGGTAAGGAACTACTTTATCAGGGGGAAACAGGCCTAAGTTCAAAATTGGCCCTTTTCACCATTCGCAATTACTGTGATTTCATTGTACACAACTACTTAGGTACTTTTTAACGTAACATACCCACCATGAAATGTAAAATTTACAAATAAGCAAATAAGATTTTTATCGGTGAAAATCAAATTTTCCATGGGGGAATGTTTCCTTCATTAGTGCAAAAATATCTGTTCAAGATAACAGGTTTGTTCTCCTACACTGCAAGGAACTAAAACGTTCATGTCTCTGACAGTTCATATATCTAGCTTTAATATTTAGTTTCTAAGCTCATACTGTACCATACTCAAAATTCCAGGGTTTATGCTCACTTATGTTCTCTGCATCCCTGGGATATGTTGTGAAAAAATTGAAGGCACACAGTTAGCTTTTTGATTGCTTTCAGGCGAAATAAACTTACCAATCACAAGGTCTGTTACCTGTCCTTTGTAGAATACACAGAACTGACACCCGACATCAAAATTGATCAATTTTACAGCGGTGCTGCTGTGTACATCAAAGGTTCACACTCGTGTACTTCTACTTCTAAATGGTACTGACCAACTTCAACAATTTGAAGATAAAATGTCAGACGAGGAGTGAAACATGGAAAGAGATTGTTTTTAAAAGATACGAGATGGTCTAATTTGCGTTTGAAAGGTGACGGTAGAGGGCTGATGGTACTTGTATCATCCAAAAGTTGGCATACAAAGCCTTTCATGTTTTCAAGACATATTTCAGGGTTACAGAAAATGAAATGATTGCAACCCCTAGAATTTCAAGGATGATAATGTACTGCTTCAAATGACATATCTATGTAATCAAAGAAAATTGCTGAAAGTGTGTGAAATTAACTTTGTTAGACTGGATCTTTTATTTTGGAGCAATGTCCAGGTCTAGGCATTTAAAGTTACATGTATCATTTACAACATTGGATTTGTTTACAGGACAGTCAACAAAGTGTTACAGTAGTGACATTTCAAACAGACACCACGCTAATTTCAGCTGGGGCAGTGGATGGGTAAGAAAAAACATTTAGCCTTATCTGAATCAACAAGTCTCCGCAACATTTGAGCCTTGCTAATCTAACCATCACTAATCTGGATTAAAAACTATCCAGGCTGATAGATATATCCCCTTTTCTATTCACATGATTTGCTAATAATGCAGCTGTTTCACAGTTTGATCTTTTTTTCTGGAAATGCAATTTATAATGTATTCTGTAAAATTTTAGATTTGATCAGAAAAGGAATTATTCAACGTTTTTCCCAATGAATTTAATTTATTCATTACTTATTCATCTATTTATTTTGAATGAGATCAGCATCTATTTGAATTTTAAATCCTTCTATGTACACAAATTATTCCGACCCAATGATTTGCATGTTAACTAATTAAGAGTGATGAAGTATATGTAACATTGCAAGAGAAACCAAAATGAAATCCTTGTTGTATTTATAAGTTATGCGACCAAAAGTCATATTCACTCTAGCCAATTCATCAAAATAATTGCTATATCATATGTAATTGTATACTTGGGATTTTAATTATAGATGTGTGAAATTCTGGGATCTGAGGAAGACATATAGTCTGATGACTTCCACGCCGGAGTCGAGACACACTATTCCTTACAGCGGTACCAGTCAGAGGAAGCATGGTAAGTAATAGTACAATCTTCTCTCGCACACTTGGTTTAAACTGAAACATGTTCTCGTTAATCTTTCCTTATTGCCCTTTACTACTCTGTCTTTCAGTGCTGTAGGCACCTCTTGCTAGCCTGTTGCGACTTTTTGTGATATCATGCTACAGTTTGTCAAAGTGAGCCGTTTTCAGTGTGGTGGCACGTTAAAATAACCCCACAATTGACTTTTTGTGGATACTGTTATACTGTAACTTTGGCAGTTAAGACCTAAATCCCCAGCAAGTAGAATCAACAATGGATTCGTTGTTTACTGTTCACAGTGATAAATAGTAATTTTTCACACATAACATTAGACTGTTTGTCAATCACTCAGGATTGCGTAATGAACCTGTTTTCTTCTATTTTCAGGGTTTACAAGTCTCACGATGGATACATACAAAAGCAACCTTTTTGCCAGCTGTACAGATGATATTGTGTACCAGTATGACATCACCACCATGATGCCGAGACTTGGTTAGTAAAAAGCCTCTACTGGTCCAGGTCTATCTATTAAAATCAATATAGGGCGTTTACTGCACAAAACATAAAACATTACACCTGTTTTATCCCTGAAGTGACTGGAATTTCCGCAACCGAAATGATACTTTACTTGTTTTATCAATGGTTTACTATTTCAGTGCAGAGAAGGAAAAATGTAAAGTAAAGTTTGTGATATGTCAGATAAGTTATGCTGCAGGAATTAGTAAAGCTTTAGTGTTTGATAAGCAGTACTATCGACAATCAACATCTTTTGTATTTCTTTACAGTACATCAATATAAAGGCCACAGAAACAACTCGTTTTATGTGAAGACCAGCATCAGTCCTGATAATCAGTTCCTCCTCAGTGGATCATCTGATGAGGTCGCTCACATCTGGCAGGTAGGAAAAAATAAACTTTTCAATTTTTTTAAATGAAACTTAACATTTGCTGAAAATTATGGCATCCAGTCGGAATGGCTCTTTATACAATAATTTTGTAAAATTTTAATTTAGATTTCATTTTAAATTTTGTTTTAGGTGGGTAAACCGAATCAAAGCCCCATTGTACTAAAGGGACATAAAGCAGAAGTGTCGGATGTGGCATGGTCACCTTACGACCTAAGCAAGGTAAGCATTGACGTCGACAAATGTGTTGTGCAATGATCAATCTACAATTTATTTTCGTGGGTCCTTTTCAACTACTGCTAAAAACAATGGGTCCTGAAAATTAAATTTCAGTTTTTCAAGAAATTCAACAAGTCTCATTTAAATTCTATGAGTATAATGATACTGGGGACCCATATGTAGGTTTATCACTGCTTGTGGTAGAACAGAAAACTATTTTGTAATGATTTATTTGTTATGTAGGGGGAAACATGTCTCATACCTTATGATAGAGATGTTGTCTTGTTTGCTTAATAAAGTTAAGTGTTCATAGTGAAAGTTTTAATGAGTATCGTAATTTTGAATCCGTACAAATATTTTTGGTATGAAATTTCAGGTTGTGACTTTATCGGATGACAACTCTTTGAGAGTGTGGAGAATTAATAGAAGACTTTCTCCTCCTGGACCTGAGGAGGTAGTTGGAACAGCCGAGAGAACTCACCGAGAAATAGGTAATCCTGTCCAAACTTCATTGCTCCGTCCACAAATATTCTTTTATTCTCAAGTTGATAGAAAAAGTATATTTGCGGCTTCATATAAAGCTGTATGAATTATCGGATTTCTTCATGATGTCAGCTGTTAAAGCTCTGCTTTAAATCACTCATCATATCTATTGTTGACATGCTCTTTAAATGCAAATTTATTGTTGTGAATTATAACTGCATGGATTTTCAGGTTTATGTACATATGAGTAAAAAAAATGTTTCGTCGTTCTAATTTTGTTTAGTTTTGTGTCAACAATGTATCTTGTAGTTTTCTGTCAACAATGTATTTGCCCCACAGCACACACTCAACATATAGGACACTGTATATGCCCAAGTTTCATCTCTTTTTAAAATATTTTTTTTCCCCAATAAATTTGTGCAATGTTAATACACATGTCCAATTCTGGCCTATGTTTTGAACCTTTTGATATAGATAGAATTATTTGCAAAATGAATTTTAACAATTTGTAATTTGTGCTTTAAATCTAAATATAATTGTTATAATTTGAAACAGGTACATCAGCAAGGCAACTTGATGAGAAAGAAAACCCTGAACAAGTTTTGTCAACAAAACAACATCCAACAAGCCTAGGAGATAAACCAAACAAAACTCCAAACCTAAAAAAGAGATCATCTGCTGAAATTTCACCAGGTAGTCTTCCTAAATCCTCACCTTCTATCAAACATTGGTTGAGTGGAAAGAAAACACCATCGTCCAAAGTTCTGGGCAAAGGTGATTCTTGTACAAGTGATTCACCAGGATCTAAATCTGGAAGAAAAAGACAATGTAAGAGAAAACTGGTGTCTGACTCGCCTGATCAAAATCCTTCAAAACGACAGAATGTATTACCGGACCGACCTTTCAATGCTGACCTACATAGTCCACACAAAAGTGCCAGCCCAACCATTGCAGCTTTTAGGAATGAATATGGAGCTTGTTCCAAATCTCCTGTGAGGAGCAGTCCTCAAAAATGGAATAGCCCACAGAAATTTAGTAGTCCACGGAAAATAGAATTGAACTTCAACAGTCCAAGAAAATTGAATTTAGACATAGACAGCCCAAGGAAGTTCACAACTAGCCCGATTAGTTCAAGTTTGAACAAAGATAGTCCAAAGAACTCTAACAGTCCTGAAGTTTTAAATTTGCACATGCCTCGGCAGTGTATTACCAAACAATCTGTGGCTACAGCATCACCTACTGTTGATCTCCCAAACCTTGTTTTGTCTGGAGAAGTTAACCGTATAAATGTATGTTACCCCATGGGCAAGGAGAACAGTCCAAGAAAAGGCACCCCACCTATGAACTGGTTAAAACAGATAAGACAACAGAAGTTAGGGAAGGAAGGGGAAACAGACCAGAGGCTGAAGTTCAGTCCCTGTAGAAGTCTGTTCTACAACAGTGCGGATTCTTCACCTGCTCACAGTGTAGAAAGCTGCCAACCAAACCATGAGGGACCTAGTCAGAACAACAGTCAGTCCGAAGAGGAACCAAAGGTGAGTTGAATCTGAAAGTTTTCGTTGATTTAACTATACAAATTAAATGTTTACGTGTTGCAGACAAATTTATGCAAACTGTGGCATTACTAGTAATAATTCCCGTTATAATATGAAGTTTTTGTTAGTCTGGAAATATATTGAAACCTTTTCTCTGGTTATCAAGCTGGTAATATATTGAAACCTTTTCTCTGGTTATCTAGCAAGTTCCCTTAATTTATTACTGCTTATTGCTGAGAACTAATAAAAGAACTGCACTAAAATTGCATAGGGCTATTTTAGAATTAACTCCAGGGGAAAGATGGGAGGCACTTTTCAGAGAACCTAGGCCACTACCCATAAAATGTTAAGTGATTTGATGTAAAGGATGGTAGCTAGATCTGGTTTTAACCCCACGACCCATAATATTATAATATAACACAGGTGCATACAATAAATTATTTATTAGTATATCCACTTGGAAGCCTGCAATTTATTTCAAGACCATATGTTACTGATGTGTGCATATTTCCGATACTCCTTTATAATTTGAGGTTGTATTTCTCTAAATATTTATTTATTTAGACGCCAGTCATAGGGATGAAGTCTCTAAGACATTATTTCAAGCCTCGCCCATCTCCCAAGGTGGATCCTGTGGGATGACAATTCTCATGCTGGAATTTGGGAGTACAGTTGGACCAATTTTGAACTTGTCACCTCAAAGCCTTGAGGACACAATAGCAAGTGGACAAGTTAATAATTCTGAATAAATGAAACGAACAGTTAAGGATCTAATAATGGATTCATTTGTGTATGGGTGATTGAAAGTTTCAGTTAATTTTCTTTTAACATAGCATATTTTTTTACTGCTTTACAAAAGCAATGTTTTGAGGAAAGATATGAAATAATGTGGATCTATTTCATAAATTGCATAATGACTCCGATTTTCTGTAATGTATTTTTGGACAAACTTCTCGTTTAAGAAGATCATGTCAGAATAAATATTTTCAAAAATAAGGTACATTGTATATGTGTTTAAGATGAATTAATTGTAATTGATAACCTGACTTATCTAACTCTGAGGAGATATATAATATAAGAAATGTTGTATTCAATGTTGGTAATTTTGTAACATGTGCAAGTAATGTTGCTGTCTTTTTGTATCTTATGTTGGTGCAACAGATTATTACATTAAGCAATGTTGCTGTAAGCATGTACGTAATGTTTCAAATACTAGTGGTACATGTGGCAGTTATATATGGCCTGCGGTCCACATACAAATTGTTTTGTTCTATTGTGAACACCTACTGTTCCTCGTCATGCATCTTGCATCCAAACAATTCACATTTTTTACTCTTCCAAAACCATAGAACCTATTTTTTTTTTTAAATCAAGACATTTTCATGGCTTAAACCATATATACCAAAAGTGTGAATTATGTAAATCTAACCTCCCAGGGGCCTGAGGGGATTGGCCAAAAAAGCTTAAATTTGTAAAAAAAAAATAAAAAAATCAACAAACTTCTTCAGACTCAGATATGCTTTAGTGCTTAGAATTACACACAAAAAAAATCTATATAGAGGGAAAGATTTTTCTTTTCCCCAAGAGTTACTTTTCGTCCTTGAGGAGGGACTTAACTTTACTATATTGTTTTACTAATTTCTGACATTTATTAGAAACATATATATTCAATCCTAAACATCATTTTGTCAGCGAATCCACAGCCGTATTTGGATTATAGGCACTATTTTGTCACATTACACCAATTACCATTGTTTTACAACTAGGGTGATGTTAAGGCTTAAGCTTATAGAGCTTTATATTCATAAAATAATATGCAATTTATTCAAAGCTGTAAAAGGGAGGAAACTTCTGTTCTAGCAAATTCACTCAATGTTGGTTTCAACTCTATATAGGTTATTAATGGAGCTTTTTCTTTTTTCAATTTGCCAAGATGGAAATGAATAAAATAGAATAGAATTTATTTCATTTTACGGTAATTTTTCTACGTTGTACATGGTTGGAAAAAGTTATTTTCCCTTTTAAAGTTGTGTTAATTCCTTACAAAGATAATTGTAGGGGATGGTCCTTTTAGGGCATTGGAACATTTTGAATTTATTCATCTACATTGTATGAAATACATATGTTTGATTAATATCCATATTTTTCTCTTATATTTTTTTTTAAATCTGAAAACACAGATGGATATTAGAGGTTATGACGCTAGGTATATGTTTTTTATTCAGTCGTGCATTTATTTACGGTGATGCATGTTGATGTTTTTTCATTCAGCAGTCATGCATATAGCTTATATTTTTGTATTTACTTTATCCTTCCGGTTCAACTTAATTGTTAAAATATGTAGTATTTTACAAATATGTTGTTATTGTGAAAATTCATTAAAATACAGGGTTTCTTTTGTATGCCTTCAGTTGTTTTTAAGATACTGTAAGTGTAAGTATTAAAATGTACTGCTATAAAACTGTAATGGGGAAGTACAAGAGAAATATTACTCTTTAGATAGGTTCCCTTTCTGAAGAAGCATTAATCGATTTATTTTATAGAAGTTGTGTTACAGATTCCTTTATGTCTGCAGTCATATTCACCTTTATACAATTTAGTACATTTTAATAAAAACTTTAGTGTCCTTTATCTTGCCACCTGTCAAATTACACTGTGTTCACACAGCTTGTTGACCAATGTTAGCAATGCTTATTTTTGGCTCCTGTGGCATAAAAATACCTATGAATTTATATTGTGGTGTGGTGTCTATCGTCATTTTTTTTTATATACTTTCAACATATTTCTTTAGATAAAAAAAATGCTGGGGTTTTGATATTTTACATGTAGTTTGCTGAAGTGAAGGATTGTAAACTGTGTTGAAGTATTTTGTCAAGGTCATTGTTAAAACTCTGTTCAAAGTTTAAGTTCAGATAACTGATGAAAAACCACAAGGCCTGGATTCATTATACTGTGTACATCATGTATCTTACTGAGGTTTGGTTTGGTATTGTTTAATGTCCTATCAACAGCTATGGTCATTTAAGGACGGCTTCCCCTGTGTGCGAGATGCATGCTGTAGCGATGCGTGTTTAGTTCAAACATATTTTTATTGTCGTAAATAAGGACAATTAGGATTGAGCACAAGTTTTGCCAACTTAGTNATATATATATAATATACAAACCCATGTAAATGTTTAAAACAATATTTGGTTAACAGTAATCTGACTGGCTGGAAAAACATCAATCAACACTTTCATAAACTGTGTCCATCACATTCCATAAAGCTGTATTCTGTAGATCCACTCGTAACCGTTCCGTGTTCTCAAAGCCCTTCCTCCATACCAGCCAGATCAGATACACAATAATTCAAAATTATGTAAACATATTAACATTGATATTCATACTATATTATATTATATTTATTTCACAAAGTATAAAGGATATTAGAAACGAATAAAATAGAGGGGGGGAAGGGGGAGTGCTCAAAATGTCAAAAGTCAAACTCTGCCAGTACCGTCGATATAGACTTGTACCGTTCTTGCAATGTTTGAGTTTGCCTCCTTATTTAAATCTATATCACCCTTTAGAATTAGGTCTAATGACATATCTCCTGGATACCATGCTAAATTCTGCAATAAGGAAAGGCGTCGGATGTGGTATTTAGGGCATGTGAAGAAGAACTGATACGAGTCCTCCCTCGTGTGTCCACATTCACATTGTGCTGAAAAAGTAAGATTAGCCCTAAAAAGATCATAATTGAGAGTACTTGCTCTGTTTCTTAATCTACAATGAAGAATATTTAGCCTACGCGGACCAAAATTGAGAAAGCATGGATTACATTTAGTTATTACATTATTCAACTTATGTATATTTGATTTGAACGAGTTCAGAGTTTGGGAGTTACTTATGGTTGTGTCTAAATTATTCCAAAGATCAACAGTTGAAGGAAAGAAAGAGTTGCGCATAGTTTGGAGTCTATACCGTTGCTGCCACAATTGCTTGGATTTCTTAAATTATAATGAGTCAGATCTCCAATATTTTGAGGTAGGATATTACATAAGTATGAGGGTGCAGTGCCATGTTTTATAGTATAAAGGAGGGACAGTTTTCTGATTTCTCTTCGTTTTGACAATGGTAGCTACCCAATTTCTGCATATAACAATTCGTTTTTTGTGTTCATAGGTAATCCTGTGACAATACGGGCCGCATCTAGTTGTAGTTTTTCAAGATTATTTGAATTGATAGCACCACAGTTATCCCATACCTCACAGCCATACTCTAATATTGGTCTAATATATGTTAAATACAATTTTTCTAAGTTATCCCTATTAAGTATAAATTTCAATTTGCGAAGTGTTGCTGTGTATTTTGATACTTTATATGCGTGTGTGTTTTGGGAGGCTTCGATATGTTTGTATTTGTCTCCTTGTGATAGTGCGGAACTGATGCGACTTTACAGTGCTACCTCACTGAAGCATACCGCCAAAGACACCCAGCAGGACACCCCACCCAGTCACATTATACTGACAATGGGCGAACCAGTTGTCCCACTCCTAAATTGCTGAGCGTTAAGCTGGAGTAGAAACTACCATTTTTACAGACTCTTGTATGTCTCGGCCAGGGGACAGAACCCAAAGCCTTCCTCAAAGGGGCGGATGCTCAACTAAAGGCCAAAGTGAGGCATTGTCAAGGGAGACATTAGGAAAACAAAGTTGTTTAGAAAGAAGAGAAAAGATGAGATCCCAAATTTAGTCGCCTCTTATGATCATGCAATAGGGGCAACAGGTACAATTCTTACGCCCTACCTGCAGGGACTCTTACTTAGGTGAAATGTCAGGTAAATAAAAAAACTAGAAAATGTCTAAGACATAAATGCCCCCACTGCCATGTGAAGTTAGTTTCAGTGGTCTATAAAAAGTTACAACTTTGATCTTGATACCCTGAAACATGCACACACACAAGGTACTACACGTTGATAAGTTGATTTTAATATTTATATGATTGTTGAATGAAGTTGCTAAGTGTTTAACTTGAATCAGTTGATGATTTGTTATATATAGCAACAGTGACCTTGACCTTGGATCCCTGAAACACAACGATGTCCAAAGTATCCCCCCCCCCCCCCCCCCCTCATTTTATTGCGGGGGCATACAAAAGTTAAAATGATTTCTAATTAACCATGTGGCCAGTTTCAATGCTCTTGTTTAACGAGAAAGTGATTTTGTTCAAATACATGACTGATCATTGTTCATACGAACACGAGAGATAAAGGCTAACGAACACGAGAGATAAAGGTTAACAAAAACTAGAGATCAAGGCTAATGAACACTAGAGATGAAGGTTAACAAAAACTAGAGATAAAGGCTAACGAACACTAGAGATGAAGGCTAACGGACACTAGAGATAAAGACTATAGAACACGAGAGATGAAGGTTAACAAAAACTATAGATAAAGGCTAACGAACACGAGAGATAAAGGCTAACGAACACAAGAGATGAAGGCTAACGGACACTAGAGATAAAGACTATAGAACACGAGAGATGAAGGTTAACAAAAGCTATAGATAAAGGCTAACGAACACTAGAGATGAAGGCTAACGGACACTAGAGATAAAGGCTAACGAACAATAGAGATGAAGGCTAACGAACACTATAGATGAAAGCTAACGAACAAGAGAGATAAAGGCTAACGAACACGAGGGATAAAGGCTAACGAACACTCGAGATAAAGGCTAATGAACACGAGAGATGAAGGTTAACAAAAACTATAGATAAAGGCTAACGAACGCAAGAGATGAAAGCTAACGAACACGAGAGATGAAGGCTAACGAACACGAGAGGTAAAGGCTAACGAACACGAGACATAAAGGCTAACGAACACTAGAGATAAAGCTAACGGACACTAGAGATAAAGGCTATCGAACACGAGAGATGAAGGCTAACGAACACGAGAGATAAAGGCTAATGAACACTAGAGATAAAGGCTAACGAACACATGAGATGAAGGTTAACAAAAACTATAGATAAAGGCTCACGAACACTAGAGATGAAAGCTAACGAACACTAGAGATAAAGGCTACCAAACACTAGAGATGAAGGCTAACGCACACTAGAGATAAAGGCTAACGAACACATGAGATGAAGGTTAACAAAAACTATAGATAAAGGCTAGCGAACACTAGAGATAAAGGCTAACAAATACTAGAGATGAAGGCTAACGGACACTATAGATAAAGGCTAACGAACACGAGAGATGAAGGTTAACAAAAACTATAGATAAAGGCCAACGAACACTAGAGATGAAGGCTAACGGACACGAGAGATAAAGGCTAACGAACACTCGAGATAAAGGCTAACGAACACGAGAGATGAAGGTTAACAAAAACTACAGATAAAGGCTAACGAACACGAGAGATTAAGGCTAACGGACACTAGAGATAAAGGCCATCGAACAATAGAGATGAAGGCTGACGAACACTAGAGATAAAGGCTAACAAACCCTAGAGATGAGGGCTAACGGACACTAGAGATAAAGGCTAACAAACACTATAGATGAAGGCTAACGGACACTAGAGATGAAGGCTAACGAACACTAGATTTGAAGGCTAACGGACACTAGAGATAAAGACTATAGAACACGAGAGATGAAGGTTAACAAAAACTATAGATAAAGGTTAACGAACACTAGAGATGAAAGCTAACGAGCACGAGAGATAAAGGCTAATGAACACGAAAGATAAAGGCTAACGAACACTAGAGATAGAGGCTAACAAACACTAGAGATGAAGGCAAACGGACACTAGAGATAAAGGCTATCGAACACGAGAGATGAAGGCTAACGAACACGAGAGGTAAAGGCTAACGAACACGAGAGATGAAGGCTAACGAACACTAGAGATAAAGGTTAACGAACACTAGATTTGAAGGCTAACGGACACTAGAGATAAAAGCTAACGAACAATAGAGATGAAGGCTAACGAACACTAGAGATAAAGGTTAACGAACACGAGAGATAAAGGCTAACAAACACTAGAGACGAAGGCTAACGGACACTAGAGATAAAGACTATAGAACACGAGAGATGAAGGTTAACAAAGCTATAGATAAAGGCTAACGAACACTAGAGATACAGGCTAACAAACACTAGAGATGAAGGCAAACGGACACTAGAGATAAAGGCTATCGAACACGAGAGATGAAGGCTAACGAACACGAGAGGTAAAGGCTAACGAACACGAGACATAAAGGCTAACGAACACTAGAGATAAAAGCTAACGGACACTAGAGATAAAGACTAACGAACACGAGAGATAAAGGCTAATGAACACTAGAGATAAAGGCTAACGAACAGTAGATATGAAGGCTAACGGATACTAGAGATAAAGGATAACGAACAATAGAGATGAAGGCTAACGAACAATAGAGATAAAGGCTAACGAACACTAGATTTGAAGGCTATCGGACACTAGAGATAAAGGCTAACGAACACATGAGATGAAGGTTAACAAAAACTATAGATAAAGGCTAACGAACGCTAGAGATAAAGGCTAACGAACACTAGATATGAAGGCTAACGGATACCAGAGATAAAGGCTAACGAACAATAGAGATGAAGTCTAACGAACACTAGAGATAAAGGCTAACGTACACGAAAGATGAAGGCTAACGAACACTAGAGATAAAGGCTAACGAACACTAGATATGAAGGCTAACGGATACTAGAGATAAAGGCTAACGAACAATAGAGATGAAGGCTAACGAACACTAGAGATAAAGGCTAACGAACACTAGAGATGAAGGCTAACGAACACGAGAGATAAAGGCTAAGTTTTATGGTCGTTAGTAGGCCTTTTGTTTTTTTGTCACTTCTCTGATGGGTTTTGCTAACCTGACATTATTTGAATTAGACTTCGACTTTTGTAGTGGGTGTCGTTAATACAGCGAAAGACTTACGGGGGCCATTAAATAAATTGTGTCACTACCCACCTCCCGTACGTAGCGTGCAATAAAAGTTATTCATTGTTGGATGTTTTAAATGCTGAAATGGAGGTTGACACTATATTTGAAATACGCTCCTATATCAAAGCACGATGTGTTCTACATATACCGCCAAACAGAAGGATGGTAACAGCAGAGAGTTATAGACTCAACTACAATTGAAGAATCCAAGGTCAATACGTTGTATTTCATAGTCTGAAAACTTGCTTGTATTACTATAACAAGATTCAACAGGTATATGTGATAAAAAAAAAATACGTGTATGTTAAAATTGAATGTTGATTAATTATATGCATGTATTGTATCATTAATATGGATATAGAGGCAGATATTTGCCTGCGTCCATCTTTTTTCCTATTAAAATCCTATTAAACAAAACCTACTCGCAGTAATATGAAAGTAAAACGACTCGTAAAAGTACAGCAGGGACCACGCCAAGACAGATCTGTGACTAAACGCCTATCCGACTCCAGGGAGTGGTGTCGCCTCAATTGAAAAAAACCAGGTTAAATTAATTTTTAAATATACGCGCCGTACTAAGCGCCCTTTCCTATGAACTGTGCCTTTGAGCGTTGATAGTACTGTCTGGTGATAAGGAAGCAGTATACAATTCAACCCTAGCTATCGTCCGGTTGCTCTTATTGTTTCTCATTATATCAACTGCGTCAGGCATTGCCAGAAAGGTAAAGTATTGAACACATTTGAAGAATATTTTTAAAGTACTAGATATTTTGTTTAACTAAATAAACAAGTAAGACATGTATGGCGATTTTTTTAAATTCAATAAATAGGGTTAAAATCCGTTGTAAGTTTTTCAACGAGGCCTTACCTTTTTAATGCATTGAGGAAAAAATAATCTTTTCAAAATCCAAGTAATTGACGGTCTATTCTATATTATGTACTTTTTCTGACACTACATTATTATGTATGTTAACGTCTTCATGCATTGCTCGTTGATTTTTTATTGTTATGTTTGTGCCAGTTATTTATGAGCGTGTAAAACCAAGAATGGAAGCTTGTGGAACCTTTGATGTTGAAATTGTGAGAATTCAAATTCGTCATTACAGGATACAAGTATGAAGGCATATCTGGTTTGCGTGTGTTTGACGCTGCTGTTAGCGTCCGCCCTGGCAACCAGCATCGCTCCGCTCCCCGACAGATCAGGTGAGACAGAAAGGCTTGAGGATGTAAAATCAGGCAAATACTGATATACTTTACATCTATGTACGATTGGAATTGAGTTTAGCAGAGATAAGACTTTTCTTATTTATTTAGTTCTGTCTCTGACACACAACGATTGTCGTACCAATATGTGTCAACTACCAAATACTATGTAAAATATATTTGACAAAATTCAGAAGGGAACTTGTTTCCTGTCAAGTGTTAGATCTTTATTGCAGTTCATAAAACGATGGAAGAGTTAACACCATCTAAATTATAAGTGATTTATAAAGTTATCACGATCGACAGTTCACATTTTGAATTCTGTTCTGGTTTTCCGATTATATGCTTGTAGTAATATACATGTATGTATGTAAAAAATTGTACACTAAAGAGGTTTATTCTTAATCTTAAAAAAAATAAATACACAAAAGTATTATCGTTATAAATTAAAGAAAGGAAAGAAAACTATTTGTACAGCGAAAATCAATTAAATGCATTGTCATTATGTCATTTTGTCCTTATTTACACTGGAAAAACAGTTTGCCTGGTTTGTACGCATATCCTACGGTGTTATCCCTGTATGCGTGCTTGCCTGGTTAGTACGCATAGCCTATAATGTTATCCCTGTACGCGGGCTTGTCTGGTTTGTACGCATAGCCTATAGTGTTATCCCTGTACGCGGGCTTGCCTGTACATGCTTCATGTTTTGTTCCTCGACAGACGGAATGAGGCTGGTTGAACAAAACGTTAGCTGCAAGCTTTCCTTGATGGCTTTCAGCTTGTTCCGGACCCCGTAAAGGATATTTTCCTCAATACGATTACGGTAATGTTGCTATAATCTATATGGGAGAGGTAATTGGATACGTTTCCTATCTCTGGTAATCAGCGCAGATATATGTGAAAGTGACGAGAACGAGTCACGCATTTGTTCTACAGCATACAAACACTGGCAAGTTATTTTCTTCTTAAATTGATGTCCTACATTAGCATAATAATACCATGACAAGAAGCGCAGTCGATAAGCTCCCTGCTGTAAAACCAGTAGGTCCAGGGTTTGAATTCCCGTTGCGGAGAAAGTGAATTATAATGAATATATGCTCTCTGGTATGTGTGTCTTTACTTAAACATATTTGCAAGCAACTCCATATTTCAAAATGGCTGACAAATCACAACTCTTCGTCTTTAGAGAAACAAAACAGCGCTAGGATTCTCTACCTTATGCAAAATAATGTGACCTTTTGATAGTGTAGTATTGAAAACAAACACTATTACCAGGAATTACCTGTTACTACTGATACAATAGAGTGAAAATGAGTTGACTGGAATATCTTGTGATTTCTGATTTTCAGAAATGTTTTTTTATGTAATTTACTTTATTTAGATATGCAAAATATACACAAGCTTTGTATCAAGAAATCAATTGCTACACAGCAATATAAGATCGAGTAGTTCACAACCGGTTAGTTCCCAGCAGTCTTGGAAAATATAAAACCGTTGTTTTCATAAAGTATCCCAACCGTAATTGTTTCAGAAAAGGGAATGTCGCTTGATGACTGATTAAGACAGTAATAGGGAATACATGTCGCTTGATGACTGATTAAGACAGAATAGGGAATGTCGCTTGATGACTGATTAAGACAGAAAAGGGAATGTCGCTTGATGACTGATTAAGACAGAATAAGGAATGTCGCTTGATGAGAGATTAAGACAGAATAGGGAATGTCGCTTGATGACTGATTAAGACAGAATAGAGAATGTCGCTTCATGACTGATTAAGACAGAATAGGGAATGTCGCTTGATGACTGATTAAGACAGTAAAGACAATGTCTATTTTCCCAAAACGTTAGTTTGCTTTTCCAAATGTGATGCATAAAATGTTTTTGCTTTTGCATTCAGTAGTTTAAAAACCGTGACTGCTTTTGTTGTTGCCGTGCTTTGCAGAACGTGACATTCAGTTTGATGTGAACATCATGAAAGTTATGCTTTCCGCTGCGTTTTGGTTTATTCTATTTGAAAACGTTCATCATTATTTCAGCCATACATATTTTTTATTGAATTTCATCTGGTCATTTCAGCATGTTTAATGAAAAAGTTCCCCGGTCCGTGCGATGATTTGATTCCTCGATTCTATTTCGAGCAGACGACTGGAAAATGTTCAGTGTTTGGCTACAGGGGTTGTGGCGGGAACAGAAACAACTTTCTAACGCTGGAGGAATGCACTAAAACATGTCAATAGTAACATAAATTCCACAATCTGATTAAAGGTTGGAACACACAAACTATACATGTTTCTACTAGTCATTATTTCGGTGTATCTATCCATAGTTCTTGGTGATTTAATGATTTCCGACTTCTGGTCTTGTGTTCCGTGTTCGTTTTGTTTTATTACCAAACATAATCACACTTTAAAGATATATTATCAGGAATTGTTTTAACGCAATACATTCCTCATGAATAATCGACGATTGTTGCAGCTTGTCTTGAGCCCATGATGACTGGAATGTGCCTCGCCTATTTCCAACGCTACTACTACAACACTGTGTCGCAAACGTGTGGCCAATTTGTGTATGGCGGTTGTGGAGGAAACCAGAACAACTTCTATACGCAGGCGGAGTGTGAACGCATTTGCTTGTAGTCACTTTTTCCTGTAAGATGTGAAATACATGGATTATACATTAATTCAAGCACTATTTCTTTTGTCTTTCGATTTGCATTTGTAATTGTCTATCCCTTTTTGTAAGATTAAGCTCACAAATCAAATTAATTTAAAAAGATAACCTGCCCGAATATCTTTCACATTGATCTAGAAAATCTATAACTGTTTACTGATTTTATTGTGTCTGAGCGTTTGATACACTTTGGTTTTCGCTTCCTTGGTCGTGGGTTCGAGGCCTACGTTGGACATTCGCCAGATACTCGCCGAAGATCTGTGGTTTCACTCTGAGTACCCCGGCTTTGCTTTAACACCAACACATGATAGTCATTAAATTACCATAGCTGTTGATAGGACGTAAAGGACAAACAAACCGCACCAAACAAAGCGTCGGTGATACACGTACTACGGAAAAACAAAAGCCACATTATCAACCCACGGAATATCCCACACAAAAGGTTGATTAAACAACAAAGAAAACAGAAAAGGACAAAATACACCATAACGTGAAAACTCTTCAATATTCAATGATATGCATTTGTTTTGAAATATGTATGTTACATGTATTTACTTCTAACATCTTGATTCTTTTTTCCGAAATAATTCAATCTCAAAGAATTTTAGTTCGACTATGACTTGCTTTCAGTGGAGCATACAATTTTCATACAAATTTAAAGAAAAAGATATTTTAACAAAGATAAAAATGACGTCATGATAACGTCATGAAGTATTATATGAAATTGAAACATTTAAAAAAGAGCATTTTCATCTTTCCAATTATATACTTCATTACCATATGCGATATATTAATTTTAACAGAATTTTGATACTAACGGTATTCCTTAACCGATTTAATAAATAAACTAGAATTTTGTTTTTGTGAACAAAAACATGTTTCTCCCCTTATTAGCCAATAAACAAACTTCGGTATAAAAAAATAACAAAGGGCGATATCTCTTTATATAGTGGGGCACGAGACCCGAATTTAGAATACGACACTTCTATTTCCTAAGATACATTAAAACTAAAGCAAATTTGGTCAACGTAGGTGAAATAACATGGAAGTTATACCGTGGACAAACTTCGGTATTAAAAATAAACAAAGGGTCATTACTCTGTATACAGTGGGGCAACAAACCTGATTTTATTGCGAGAGATTTCACCTTCCCAAGATTCATAAATATGGTAAGTTTGGTCAACGTAGGTGAAATAACATGGAACTTATGCTCCGGACAAACTTCGGTACTAAAAATAACCAAAGGGCCATAACTCTGTATATAGTGGGACATAAAACCTTATTTTATTGCGAGAGATTCCGCCTTCTCAAAATACATACATATGGTAAGTTTGATCAACGTTGGTGAAATAACATGGAACTTATGCTCTGACAGACTTCGGTATTAAAATTAAACAAAGGGTCATTTCTCTGTATAAAGTGAAGCACGATACCTAATTCCAGTGCACTGCACATCTCCTGTGGGTGATGCAGGTATACTTCAAGTTTGATTAAGATATCTTAAACGGTTTTGAAGTTATGTCGTGGACAAACTTCGGTATTCAAAATAAACAAAGGGCCATAACTCTGTACATAGTGTGGCAAAAAACCTGATTTTATTGCGAGAGGTTCCACCTTCCCAAGATACATAAATATGGTAAGTTTGGTCAACGTAGGTGACATAACATGGAACTTACGCTCCGGACAAACTTCGGTATTAAAAATAAACAAAGGGCCATTACTCTGTATATAGTGGGACATAAAACGTGCTTTTAGTGCGAGAGATTCCGCCTTCCCAAGATACATAAATATGGTAAGTTTGGTCAACGTAGGTGAAATAACATGGAACTTATGCTCGGCACAAACTTCGGTATCAAAAATAAACAAAGTGTCATTACTCTGTATATAGTGAAGCACGAGACCTAATTCCGGTGCACTGCACACCTTCTGTAGGTGATGCAGATATACTTCAAGTTTGATTGACATATCTTTAATGGCTTAGAAAATAAACCGTGGACAAAATTCGGTATTAAAATAAACAAAGGGCCATTACTCTGTATATCGTGGGGCAACAAACCTGATTTTATTGCGAGAGATTTCGCCTTCCCAAGATTCATAAATATGGTAAGTTTGGTTAATGTAGTTGAAATAACATGGAACTTATGCTCCGGACAAACTTCGGTATTAAACAAAGGGCCATAACACTGTATATAGTGGGGCACGAGACCTAGTTCCAGTGCACTACACACCTTCTGTGGGTGATGCAGGTATACTTCAAGTTTGATTAAGATATCTTAAACGGTTTAGAAGTTATGCCGTGGACAAACTTCGGTATTCAAAATAAACAAAGGGCCATAACTCTGTATATAGTGGGGCACAAAACCTGATTTTATTGCGAGAGATTCTACCTTCCCAAGATACATGAATACTGTAAGTTTCGTCAACGTAGGTGAAATAACATGGAACAACTTATGCTCCGGACAAACTTCGGTATTAAAATTAAACAAAGGGCCATAACTCTGTATATAGTGAAGCACGAAACCTTATTCTAGTACACTGCACACCTTATGTAGATGATGCAGGTATACTTCAAGTTTGATCAAGATATCTTTAACGGTTAAACATTTACGGGCCGGACAAGAATTTACTGAAAATGTTGCATTTATTTGACCTTTGACTTTGATGTGAAGGTCACAGTGACCTAATTCTAGTGCACTGCACACCTTCTGTAGGTGATGTATGCATACCTAGTTTCATCAAGGTATCTTTGACGGTTTAAAAGTTATGGCCCGGACAAGTTGCGATTAGAAAAACCAGAAAAAGAAGAAGAAGAAGAAGAAGAAGAACCAGTACAAATACAATATGTAATTTTAAGCTCCCATTGGGACTTCTTATCTATAAACGCCCTATTGTGACTACATTTCAAAGAAAGAGGTATTTCAACATGGGAGATACTTTCAGCTTGTAAATTGTGAGGTATATACAGTTTCCACAAGATAAATCTAGCCACTCAGTGTAGTGGTATATCTAGGTCACGATAACCTAGTTTTAGTTTGCGACAAACCTTCACTACAAAATGTAACAGCACATGAAGTATATATAATATGTTTAAACGTAATAGTAAACTTAATCAACATTCTATAACTTTTGTCGCTTAGAGGCATATAACGGATACATTGTTTATAAATTGTCAAAATTCTAGACCACAGATAAAGCCAAAACAGTACCGAAGAGCAACCTTCCCTATGAACTTAGCTTAAGAGTTAGAGAGTACTGTCTGGTGATAAGGAAGCTATACAGCTATCTACCTTCCGGTCATCCGCCATACTTCTTAATCTACCAGCTGTCCGACACATAATAGAAAGGTAATGCAAATAAACTTTTTTGAAATTAAGGTTCGCGACAAAATATTTTGAATACATGATTGCTTTCTGATGCCTTAATCGTAATTACAAGCAAAATGTTTTTTTTTCATTTTGCAAACTGTTAAGTGATGTGTGCGTTAAAAACACAATGATCGTATTTTGTAAACTCATTATTTCGATACATGTACTATAAGATCCAAACCCGTCGTTTCAGGTGACTGATATGAAGACGTTTCTGGTTTGCGTGTGTTTGTCGCTGCTGGTGGCGTCAGCTCTGGCCTCCACCACCACCACCACTATGCTCCATGACAATTCAGGTGAGACAGAATTGCATATGGTACTAACAGTGTTTTTTGGATACGTCCTACATACGGCTCAAAATGATATGATTTACATTTTTGCTACCATGTCCTAAAATGACATTACAATACGGATTTTATTATGACTTCACAATGAAAACAATGGATATAGAGCTGAACGGTGGAACTTTCAAACCTAGTAAGCTGTTTATTTTTTATTCATAGTTATTTTTCTTTCTTGCAATATTCACAAACATTCTGATACCATCGTACATTGATCCATGAACCTCATGTAGGATCCTATTTACATGTATCAACCAATTTTTTGTTATTTTTAGTTTATATATTACTATTGTAGTGTTCTCTATTAACTGTTCTGTTGAATTACTGTGTTAATGTATCATTAGGCTATACTGAAAAGTATTCGTATGTACACAAAATTGGTAAATAAAAGTTTTAACAAACCTTTTTGAACATGCAAATGTAATATAGCGTAAGAATAAATTAAGGTTTTTCTGTGCGTGCAAATGTTTCGTTTGATATCCCTCACCGACGGACGAAAATAGACTGGTTGAACAACTCAGTTACTGATAGTTCCCGTTCTTTGCTTACAGCGTGTTCTGAGCCGAAGTTCCCTGGGCCATGTAAAGGACTCTTCTATCGATTCTATTACGACAATGATCAAATGGACTGCTTGGAGTTTATCTATGGGGGATGTGGCGGCAACAGAAACAACTTCCTAACTCTGCAACACTGCCAAAGTACCTGTAAAAGTTAGGTCTTCAACTGAGGTGCATTTTTGTAGAAAGCAACAATGAATTAAAATATGACCCCAGATGTGCTGCTATTTCTTTATATCTCCTAGTTAAGACATCAATAACTTCGAAGGATTGTAACCCATTTTAATGCCCGGATTGGCTTCACCGAAGTGTAAAAAAAGAAAGTTCTTCAAAATAAAATGTTGAAATACAGAGGCGGTCACTCCTGGTGACCGAATATTTTTAAGATTTTTTTTTTGATGCACACTCTATTTATTCTAAAAATTTAATGACACAATTGTGTTTAACTTAGATTATTCACCCTTGTTTACCCGGATGCAAGTGCGTTAGGGGTTTTAATTTGGAACAGAAACCAGAGTACCAGGTGGAAGCCCACGTGGTCGGGCAAGTGACCCAATAACTTTTCGTATCCGATCAGGAAATCGAACCCCGGTCGTCTGAGTAAAAGGCGGGTACTCTATTTGTTGCGTCATCCGAACAATTATAATTAATTGATCAATAGTCAAAATAAAATAACAAATCAAATAGTTCACAAAATTAAGATTATACACTCAATACCTGACCCTTTCACTGAAAATATCGCAGTGAGGAAATGTATTTCATAAAAAACCAACAACACTGGACTCATCGGAATGGACCCGTTTACTCAAGACATTCTTTAATGTATGACAAAAATATAGAAACAGAACTTACTGTATGCATAGAGAATTAAAAGAAGTTTTGGCTAAAAGTGATGGTGATAAACAGTTATTTCCTATTGGGTTAGCTTTTCAATAACTTTTCTTCCACAAAATGTTTTTTAAAACAAGAGGCCCAGGGGGCCTATATCGCTCACCTGGATAATAATGCAACCATGTCTTATTACATAAAATCCCTCCAATGGTACAGAAGAAGAAAGATTTTTAAAGATTTAAACCTCTAATTTCCCTATTGGGCCCCGCAACTCTCAGCCCCCAGGGGGTCCAAACCCACGACCACCGTTTATATAAAATTGAGTCCACTTTGCCAAAGGATGCTAGAGACAAAATTGGGATGAAACCCCCAAATTATGGAAGAAGAAGGATTTTAAAGGTTTACCTCAATTTCCCTTATTCGGCCCCACCTCTCTTGGCCACATCCACCGTTTATACAACACTGAGTCCCCTTGGCCGAAGGATGCTCCAGATTAAATTAGGATAAAATCCCTTAATCCCTACAGTAGAAGAAGGATTTTAAAGGGTTTACCTCTATTTCCCCTATCGCGCCTCACCTCTCTGCCCCCAGGGAGCCACACCCACCGTTTATACAAAATTGATCCCACATGGCCCAAAGATGCTCCAGACAAAATTGGGATGAAACCCCTCAATTCCTATGGTAGAAGAAGGATTTTAAAGGTTTTACTTCTATTTCTCGTATTGGGCTCCATCTCTTTGCCCCCAGGGGGCCACACCCTACGTTTAAACATAATTGAGTCCCCTTGGTCTAAGGATGCTCCAGACCGAATTAGGACAAAATCCTTTATCCCTACGGTAGCAGAAGGATTTTAAAGGTTTTACCTCTATTTCCCCAATTCGGCCCCATCCCTCTACCCCTCGGGCACACCCACCGTTTATACACCGAGTCCACTTGGCCCAAGAATGTTATAGATTAAATTAGGATAAAATCTCTTAAACCCTACAGTACAAGAAGGATTTTAATGGTTTTACCTCAATCTGTTCAGCTAAGGACGATTATAGTTGGAAGTAAAGAAATAACAGAAGTTATTCTCGATTCAGAAAAGGTATATGACCGAATGTTTCCCAATTTGTAATACTTTTTAGCATATTCCTCAGCCATTGATATTTTTGTTAGGCTTTTGACAAGCAATGCAGAAGTTCACCATGATCAGAAAGGTAGGACAAGAACAACGACAGCAACGACAGAGGAGGAGGAATTTCTAGTTCTCTGTGTTGCTGCAATGCATAATTAGTGTAGGAAAGGACGATGTACGCTGTTTTTGAAAATACAAACAAGAGGCCCAATGGGCCTGAATCGCTCACCTCGTATTAATCTCACACTTGTAATCTTAAAAGTGGACTAAATTACAACTACAGGCAGAATATCAGTGTTTGATTCATAAGAACCTATTAACAGATTTAAAGGGGCTGGTCGGGGAAAAATTACAAAATAAATGGGTCTAAATGCGTTCTCTGGCCTTCCAAAAGTTAGACCACGGCAATATGATGGTTGAGTTCTGCTTGCAATGTCCAGATTTGACCACTGACATCTCGGGGAAGCCCCGCGTAAATTTAGCGCAGATCTATTTATATATGTCAAGTGGTTGTTTCGAAACTGAGGCAGTGAAGATAACAACAATAGCACGCCGTCATGTGCCATGTCGGACTCAACTAGCGGACAAGACAGCAATACTATACGTAAATAATTGTTTTCAAAGGTCATGCATGATGCCAGTGTAGTATTCCTACCTATATGTTGTGGTTATATATAACGGTATTGATACCTTGTGCCTGTCATGACTTTTGCATGCATCTTTTTCTTTCGCCGCGATGTTTACATTTGGCCTTGTTGATGACGCGCGTGCGGTAAAATTACATCACTGATCTGGGTCAATTGAGAGTTTTAGACTGTCAGGTGACGATTTAGGATTTCTTTAATATAATTATAATTTTTACTCCTAGGGAGTGAATTTCAGCAAAATTTGAATCGGTATATTTCATAAGAAGGTATTTTAAACATGTGTGTGCCATTTTAGCAAATATGACATTTTTTCCCCGACCAGCCCCTTTAAACATATGACGCCCGTGACCTTGAATGTTGAACAAGGAAATTAGGTTGAACAGCGTTTATAGTCTTCTAACCCAGCATGCTTCTAACAAAATATCAAAACCCTGGATCTTTTGGTTATACAGAACAAATCATTTAAAGATTTAAACATACATTGACCACTGTGACCTTGAATATGGGCGAAGGTAATTCATTTCAACAAACTTGGTAGCCCTTCATCCCAGTATGTTACTGGCCAAATTTAAGCACCCTAGGCCTTTGGATTCTTCATAAGAAGTTGTTTAAATGTATTTTACGCCTGTGACCTTGAATATAAATCAAGGTCACTTATTTGAACAAACTTGGTAGCCCTTCATCCCAGTATGTTACTGGTCAAATATCATCACCCTAAACCCCTCTTTTTTTATTCAGAGAAGAGGTTGTTTAAATGTTTTAACATATTTGACCCCAGTGACCTTGAATATAAGCAAAGGTCATTTATTTCAACAAATTTGGTAGCCCTTCATCCCAGCAAGCTACTGGCCAAATATCATCACCCTAGGTTGTTTAAAGTGTTCGACATATTTGACTGCTGTGACATTGAAAGAAGGTCAAGGTCATTTTCATTCTCAAACTTTGTCAGGCTCTATCTCAGGAAGCCAACAGCCATATATTAAGATTGTATACCTTTAAGTTCTTCAGAAGAAGTTGTTAAAAGAGTTTTTACATATATGACCGCTGTGACCTTGAAAGTACGTCAAGGTCATTTTCATTTTCAAACTTTGTTGGGCTTCATCCCAGGAAGCCACCAGCCAAATATGAAGATTCTATTCCTTTTAGTTCTTCAGAAGAATTCGTTTGAAGCGGGCGACATATTTGACCCCTGTGACCTTGAAACACGGTCAAGGTCATTTTCATTCTTAAACTTTGTTGGACTCCATCGCAGGAAGCCATCATCCAAATATGAAGATTCTATACCTTTTAGTTCTTCTTCAGAAGTCGTTTGAAGTGTGTGACATATTTGACCCCTGTGACCTTGAAACCCGGTCAAGGTCATTTTCATTCTCAAACTTTGTTGGACTTCATCGCAGGAAGCCACCAGCCAAATATGAAGATTCTATACCTTTTAGTTCTTCAGAAGAAGTCGTTTGAAGCGTGTGACATATTTGACCCCTGTGACCTTGAAACGCGGTCAAGGTCATTTTCATTCTCAAACTTTGTTGGGCTCCATCCCAGGAAGCCATCATCCAAATATGAAGATTCTATACCTTTTAGTTCTTCAGAAGAAGTCGTTTGAAGTGTTCGACATATTTGACCGCTGTGACCTTGAAAGACGGTCAAGGTCATTTTCATTCTCATTGTCAATTCTTCAGAAGAAGTCATTAAAAGGAAAAGTTAAGGAAAAGACGACGACGGACGACGGACGCTGCGCAAATATAGATTTATTTAAGGATGGCTTTTTATTTATGTGATATAAGGCCATATTATGTTTAAACGCATACTTTGTTTGGCTTTTTGCATCAACTTACTTATTTAAACATGTAGTTGGTACTGCTATTGATCCTATTACACACACTAAAAGAAAAATGAATACGGAAATTAAGCCATTTGATTTTGTAATTTTTATTAATTGAAAAATATTACATTAGCCATGATTATATCAAATTCTCTCTCAAAAACGCTAATTAGCATTCCAAATTTCCATTGATCATCAACAATAACTCTTAGAAGACGATCGGGATTTACCCTGCGATAGGAGAGACAAAGCCGCTGGTTCCCAGTGGAGGGTACTCCAAATCTGAGTGGGGACAGTCAGTATGGTAATCGTTGCTTCCGTTAGAATCATAGCAATCGACGGGATTAAATTGTTTGTCAAAACATATCTCCACCTCGTATAGCATCATTTTACCAGTTTTCTAGTAAAAACAAACATAAAAAAATAATTCTATAGATATCGTACCATTGGCATTGAGAGAGATGTAATTGAATATCAGTTTTATCTACGATTGATCATGGTTTTGGTAATGCACATGTTAATATGTTCAAACCAACAAGAATCAATAGAAACAAGGCGAATTCTATATACATTGTATAAATATTATCATATATAAAATATTAATGTAATAAACATTAAATGATTAAATAAGTAGTTATTGTGTATGATTTCATAGACATTTCGGTATTGGACTACCCTATATAAATTAAGAAATTATTTTTGGGTCGCTGAACAAATTAAGTAGAATAATTATAGTTCATATGCATTGTAGATATATCATTATATAATGTATTAGATAAATAGTTCTCGGCTAGGGTTCATTGACATTTTAGTATTACGCTGTATAAGTTAAGTTAAAAAGTTTAAAATTATCTCGCTTTAAGAAAACATATTCAGAGGAACTACTGTCATTCGTGCGTAAGGTGGCTAGTACTACACATCGTTCAGGTTATATAAAATTCGAGTTACTTAAATGTTTGTCATCATATTTTCTGTTTTCCATGCTTTATCAGTTAAACATTTTACACTATTAGAAAGTGTCAATTAAAATTACAATACAACATTGACATAAAAGCTTATAAGGTTAAGTGGTAAAGTCTACTGGTTTATAATATCTCTGTATCAATTTGTTGGTTAAAATCCGTCGAAATGGCGATACTATTTTTTAGCAGTTAATAGCTGTCTTACTGTTATGATCGATTTAAAAAATAAGCATTTTAATATAAAAATAAGAAAAGAAAAAGAAATTATTGAGTGTTTCATTAAACGCCAGTCAAGCTTTTTAATTCGAAATATTGTACTGCGCAGCGTAGGTTTTGTAAGTAAACAGATATTTTCAATCATTTTAACTATTTTCCCGATGACGAGGTGGTAAATATGTTAAGTGTCTTATTGTGTTTTTTCAATTGTATATATGTGTTAGATGCAAAACATATGACTGACTATATTCATGGAAAAAAAATAATCGTTGAATTCTTTAATGCACGTTTTACCTTTGTAAAGATACGAATTAAGAAAAAAAAACATAGATACACTACCTCGTCCTTGGTACACTCGACGATGGCGTTGGCTCCTATCTGATGGGTCAGGGCAGTTTCGATTTCCTCTAGCTACACACGGAAAGAAACAAGTGTTAATATTGACAAAGGACGATCTTATCAGTCTACATAGACAACAAAGACATTTTTTGCACTTTTTTCATGGGTGTTGCATTCGAAACAAATTCACTTTTGTGCTAACATATTTTGAAGAGCTTCTATGACTTTTTAACACTTTATTTGTGATAGTTTACTTAAGTCGCAAGCGGTTATGGGTTCAAATATCATTTAAGAAAAATAGTAAAATGTCCAAAGTTTATTAATGCCACAATAAAACAAAATAGTGAAAAAATATTCAAACACGATCTCATTTACTACCACTGTTGTAAAACCAGCTAATACTTATTCCATACCTTATTTTAGTATTGCACTTGATGCAAGGACCCAACAATATTGATTTGAAATTAATAAAGAAATCAAGAAGCATTCAGATGTGTGATAAGCAAAACTGGGTTTTATACGGCAGTCAACTGGAAATCTTTAATTTAAGTTTTCCTTAATAAGCATACCGGTATATATATCTGATCCTAACAATTCAATCACTATCTCCATGGCTATAGATTAAAATACAATTGAACCTGAAACAAGGATTAATAGTGTTTCAAAGTTATACACCTGGAAGGAAAATAGAAATATATAAAGGTATGTATGTATTCGTAAACTTACCGTGTAGGTCCGTGATGAACTTGGTACTATGTTTTCCTTCGCAAGAAGTCTGAAATCAACCGAATGAAGATAGTGTGCATTGCAAGACATATTCCGTCTTTTCGTATTGCAGAGTTATCTGCTCTTGTGAGCAGGGATTGATTGTTATGTCATTAGTTTGCGAGAACATTAGGTCGTTTTCTAAAAAAAATATGACGTTACTCTCACAAAATAATGACCTAACAATCAAAACCTGTTCACAAGAGCAGATAACTCTGCAATACGAAAAGACGGAATAGACATATGAGGGATTGAAAGTCTACAATTCTGTCAACTTAGCTCGATTAAACACCTGTTTAGTTTCTATTTTCGGTCAAATCAATTTCCTGTGATTATTATCCAGCAGCAGCAACGGAGCTTAATTTATCTGGATCATAGAACTTTAAATCATACCTTATCACATATAATCATATTTTTGACATCTAGAATATTCGATTGCATTGTGACTGTTACTGTCTTCCCCTTTTCTCTACTGCTTTTTAAACGTGTTACTCTCAATAACTATTATCATATACTTTGTAATTACTGTAAGTTTTATTAGATGATCTTTCAAACATTTCCCTGCTTGCTTTTACCGAATCTTCAAGATTTACTTAATAAAATGTTTTTGATAAACAAAGTGTCTCACTTTGACGCGCCATAGGTTCCAGCGATGTCAAGCGCCTTCTGAAAGTACAGGGACTCGCTACCAGTAGCAGGAAGGGTAGAAGCACATGTGCCGTGTTTCGTCCACTCATGCTCCCTTTAATAGACAACATTTTATATAGCGCATCATATACCTAGAATAAGCCACTTTAAAGCCCTTAACAGTACAATTTACAATTAACATTAAATAATATATTAATCAATACAATTTTAAGAAATGTTCAGGAGCTGCCTTATCAGGCGCTAACTACTAATGATATGCCACCTAGCTAATATCTCCCTATGTATGTATGCCTGTATCTGTGCTTGAGATGTCTTGTGTTTATTAATAAAACAAATCTATGATATTGAACACTTAAAACAAGTATGGCGAGCTCAATATCTAGACAAGGTACAAAGTATTATGTCTGGTCAGATAGGGAAAGGAGCACGGTAACATTATCTTGACTGGTAGTCCAGTTATAATGTATTATATTATTATTATTATTATTTAAGCATATAGTCTCGGTAGGATATCGGTATAACATTGAGCAAATAGTCCATCTAGATGATAACGAATGTTTGGTTTTACAATATCTATCGGCTGAGAGTTATTGAACACTCACCAGAAACTCTCCATGCTGGTATCGGCGTACATGTTCGGCCACATCACTTTCATTATTGGCACTAACGACTGTATAGAGAGAGGATTTTAAACCCAATATTTTCTAACAAGAATACGTAATAGTTGCAAAGGATAGTTGCTTATCTGGTCTAAATCCTGTAAGACATTTACAGATAAACGAATAATATAGAAATGTTTTATATAATAAATTTACAACTGAGTTTAAGTATTTCCAAATTATATACTCAAATTCATTTGACCGGGTTTTTTTTCCGCACACGCCCATGAAGAAAAAAGCACGAGACACGATCCAGGAATATACACTTACTGTGCCAGCAACATTTCGCATTAGATTATAACTTATATACTAGTACGCACTGCGGGCGAATTTAAAATGTTCATCAAGTTATGAAAAAAACCTATATTAATCCGTAGCAGATTATTAAAAAGTTTGCAAATGTTCTTTCATACCCCTATGAAACTGAACAAATTACCTCACTGTTAAAAATGTAAACATCCCGGCTATCTTTCAACCTTTACAGCAGGATTCTTTTTAAATGTTGTAACATTCAATTCATCACCAATGACTTAAGAATACTTTTTAGTAGCCAACTTCTGCCATTGACCATATATATCACTCAATTCAGACACAGCATTTCAGAGTATAAATACTGATATTTGTAATGCATTACAACCTAACAAATGGAAGATCATACCATACCTGTCTGCTGTCCACGATTTCAATATTGGGGGAAGCTTACCTTGATACTATTGAAATCAAAATGTAGGTGGCTGTTACAGGATGTCGGACCTCTGGTTCCCCTCTTTGTCGGCCTAGATTCAGGAAAAAATAATGAACATGTAATTCTATCTTTGTGTTTATATTCAAATGTATATGTTTGTAGATTATATATTTTATATGTTTAAATATATATTTGAAAAATATCAATGAAGTGATGGCGACAATTACAGGACCATCACTCATTTTTCTGTATGACAAGGTGCAAGTATATCAAGATATAAGATGCACAACCTTGTAACATAAAGAAAAAACATAGAAAAACAGGAAAAAAATAATCTTTTGCTACTCCTGGTAGTGTTGTCAAGTTTTGTTATCTTTCTAAAACAATTCAACGTGTGTTTTACACATAGTATATGGATGCATATTCGGGTAATCTGTACCCTTTAGTGATATTTGCAACAATCTACATGCGTTAATTAAATGATTAAATGCAACATGAGAATTATGCTTCTTGTGCCATTTTACGGACCGTACAGAAACGTTGTTATTGTGCTTGTGGGAGTACAAATTGTTTCAGTAAAGCTCTCCCTACCACAAAAGCAATACACATTTTACGGTACCAAACAGCAAACAATGACAAAACAGTACAGAATATCGTCGTCGTCATCATCATCATCATCATCATCATCATCACCGTCACAAAACGGACCTTTTCCAATTACACGTACTAACACTTAAAACTTAATAACACTTGCAGTGATAATTAATTTATTTGTTATTTATTTGACCAGTAAAGTTCATTACTCATAGAGACTTGACTATAGAGATTTTGACCTAATGATGGATAAACTCACCAGAGACCATGTATTCCCCAGGTGCGGACATCGGGCGGGATCACACATCGATGGTGCTGTCAATTAAAACATAATCGACACTGAACATAATTACATACGTGACTCTGTAAATTACATGTACAAAATCTAGGTGATCAGTTGGTTTCAAATTGTCTGTATCTGTCTGGGAATTCATTATCTTAGTATTAACTTATTTTCTGCAGTTCAAACGCATTTCTAAAAGAGATATGTACCAGTAAAGATGTACTTAAAACATGTTCCATGAACAATAAAGGTACTGTTGGCAGACATCTTTTCATGTTTCCAATGTCTGACTTTGGCCTAACAAAGTGGCTTTTACATCTACTACTGATACTGACCTCGTGCGTGCCGAGGACGCAGACGGCCACTGGCCACTCCTGTGTGAAGGTGAAGATGTCCCAGTCATGGTCAGAACTGGACCCTTCGTAGTAATGGTGGTTTGACGACTCAACTAGTCTGGAAAACCCATACGTCATACTGAGATAACTCATTAATATATGACACTTTAGTTCATTTAAGACTGACATTAACTAATATGCATGTTGTGCAACACAGTCTGTAAATGGTTGAGATGGTCTGTCATTGAATCAATAGAGCTAACCGGTTAGGGTTCATATAATCTGAGAGCAATTCGCTGGGGTTCGTATGGTCTAGCAGTTCATAGTTCATGGTTAGGGTTCACACAGTATATTGTACACAACTTAAGTTAAACGAGCAAAGTTTCATATGATATTGCAGTGATATATTATACTGCTCAACTTTTCGGGTTCAGATGGTCTAGGGTACTTCTTTCAAGCCTAACGGTTTGGGTTCAGATGGTCTGACAGTGACTGGAAATACAGTCTGCATGGTAGTGTCTCTATTAAGCTACATATACGTTTTCTGAGCTAGTACTTTTTACTTACAGAGGACCAAAATCCATAACAATGAACATAGTTTTAATATGATGCAGAACCACGAAACTACAGCACTACTAAGTAAAGTAATCTAAGCGATGGACATAAAGCCTTTTTTTATGAAAAGTGTTTTACATTAAGCATACATCATTTATAAAAAACTTAATATCAATGACTGTTGAGGGGATATGCCAAATTAACAGAAAACTTGAAGTTTAAGATAAGAAAAGTTAAGAAAAAGATCGAGCTTACGATAAACATAACAGCAACGAAACGGTCAGGATCTGCATATTGTTGGAATCTGTTTTGAGGTGAACAATGAAAGGCAGATAAGTTAGTGTCATTGATAACATACATTATAAATACAAAGCTTAACACAGCCATTGAAACATAGTACATCAAAATGGAATTTGCATGTTTAGAATAAAAAATAAGAAAATAAATAAAACCACGGAGTTAGATCTATCCAAGTCTATGATAAAACCGATACCAAATTAAAGAAAGACATAGAAGCAAGGAGCAAAATAAAAACAAAACCCAAAGTTCTTAACCAAGCCTCCAGCATCCAGCTCCCTTTTACGAAAGCTAAGCACTAAAATTAAAAAGTAGACAATACGTGTAGTGATACTATGGGGGTGTGATATCACTTTCAAGGGGGTGTGATATCACCCGGGCTGATATCAACTTGTGGAAATTTTAGACTTTTTACACATACAAAAAGAGTGTTATTATTAGTAAACATATAATAATATAGTTTTAAAACGACTTTTGGTAAAGCAGGCAATGACTTCAAATAATAATACAGTTCATTTAGGTGTTTAGGTACTGCGTTGGAGGAGAATTAGGAACAAGCACAGGTAAGTACACACATTTCGTTATTTTGTCTTAAGTTTTTCATTTAAGTCCCTTCGACTTTTGCTTTTAAAATTGCACTGTATATTCCAGGGAACAAAAATATTGCACAAGGATATGTAAAGCAGAGAGTGTATACAACGGTAACCTCCACAGGAGGGTACGATATTAGGTTAAAAATCAAGCATATATAGCCATAAGATATTGAAAGATACCAACACAAAGACGTCCAGCAATAACGTTAACCATTTTTTTAAAGGGAAATGACTGGAACATTTGTTACACAAGGGGATACTAAACCTCCCATAACTGATACATTAAGCCAAAAAACGTACATGATTAGTTTGATACATAACGACACGTTGGGGTCGAACATTCATTTGTATGAAGTAAAGTAAGAATGAAAATTAGTTGTCGAGGATTTCGAATCAACCAAAACAAATAACATCACACCAGTTATATAGGATCATGGGAGCACTATTGGTATCTATCATGGTTACAATTGACCTAGTGCTTCAATTGTCTCAATATAACCTGTGAAATCCAGGTACAACCGGGTCACAAGCAACCCAAAAACACAGCATGTTTGGCTTTGATAACGGCAGACATGGCTGGATTGTCAGCGCTAATGTTAACCATTATTACTGATATAATATTTCAACAATTATGGTATCTATGAAAAAATCGTATCATACAATACAGCTAAACAATAAATTATAGAAATAATATTTAAAAAGTAAATTTAACGAAGCAATTTCGTGAAACCTTGAGCATTAGAAACACAATAACTAACAATACAAATAGCTTACACCACTGCTACAGATCTGCCTTTATGTTGTTATCTAGAACAAGTCACGATTATTTCCTATGTTAGAGGTGGTCACTCATTATAGATAAGGATCATGTGCATTAGACACGAAACTCCAAACAAGTATAAAGATAGTAATATATAGTTTGAGCCCAAATAAAATTTACCGCATACTTTGTATTAAGTTACATTTGAATCAGATGTTTTACACCTATAACATGTAAATCTAGTTCCAGCGTGAAAATATCGATCTATTTTCCTGAAATCCTTTATGCAAAGAACAAACACTTATGTTGTGGTGGTTCGGATGGTGGGTGTGATCATTCGGTTTTGTTACGAGAAGTGTTACATTATGTTTTAAACACAAATTGCTATCATCATTTATCAACAATTCTCTATAATAAAGCACGATACTTTTCAAAGTGTCAGAAGCATTTGATCAAAAATGAGATTACTGAGCAGACTGCCATATACTGTACTCTTATGGTCAATTACAATTTCAAAATTGTAACAAACGATGGTCCACGAGTGAGATAGGGGTTAATGGGCGGGTTTAAAAGGGATGATGTAACTTCGAAATAGTTGGTATCCCAAACATCATACAATGATTTGCAATTGATCAGTATCCTACCCTGGTAACCTAGTGCGCCGCATAACATTGAAGCAGTAGATATCCCCATCCCATACACAATTGGAAGACATATACATTTTAATACATATACGGGTAACAAATACCTAGCTAAGTCCTTCAAGTTCACATTCAGTTATATAGACAATATTGAATGACTAGAATTCATTGACCACATCGATCATACGTACCTTAAAGAGCTTGAAATAAAGAACACCACATACTCTTCAGCCGCTTTCCTCGAACTTTGCTAATTAAATTACCAACAGGGAGGGCTTACAATTCAGCTGTACGATAAACGGGACGATATCGACTTTCAGATTGCGAACTTTCCGTTTCTTGCTAGTTACACTCCTGCTTCCCCTATTTTCGTTACTCAAGAGTTTGCTCCGAATATCGCGACTTCCACGATAGATGTCGACTGCTGACGGACAACCTTTCAACACTGGGTTACCAAAGATGCAAGTTGATGAAGACTATGGACAAGTGTTACGGTAGCCTTCAGGATCTCGAAGGAAAATATGATATTTTGTTTGTGATATGAAGGGCGATGTATTTGATAATGCTCATTATAGTGCCTTGTACTTTTGTTTACACTACCCGAGTTCTCGATGTAAGGACAAGACATAACTTCGATTTGACCTAGATTTAAATGGCAGGTGTCATCGATGAAGCAGAAGACGCTTACCTTTCCGGAACACCCTAGTTTTATCGAATTTGAGCTCAAATTGTGATTTTCTTGACACTTCGGTATTCTCTTGACTTTATATTCTATCAGAAATGGTCTTTTATTTGCCCTTGACTTTTAGACTCTAGGCTCCCCATCTGTTATAAAATGAACATGGTTGAGATTCTTACTCCATTATATATACAATTGCTGTGTATGCAGAAAAAGTATCATCTTATCACTGTGGTTTTTGTAGAATTTTTTCAGCCGAGTTATGGACATCTTTTTTAAAGTGTTGAGCAGTCCAATTATTAAAAAGATAGAATGGGTTATCAAAATGTTGACGAGTCTCACAGGTAAATCACCAGTCCCGATTGAAATACAGATGTCCTTAAAATCACTGCTATCATAATTGGTCTCGGGGTTTGGCGCCGCCCATGGTAATAGATATGCTATTAGGATTGCCCAAGGGGTCCATCCCCACCCTAAAGACTTAGTTTGAAGTCATAACATGGAAACGGTTGAGATCGCCCTACAATCGCTGGGAACACAATTATAATATCATTATTGGTTAGCTCCCTTTAACAACATGAAAACATTTGATATACCCAACCTACATCCATATATACAATTGCTGGGTATGATTCCAAGATTGAACCGCGGGTTCATCCCTGTCCTTGGGGACTTAGTCACTGTGTCATAAAATGGAAAATGTTGAGGTTCCCACTCGATAATCATATACCATCAAAAGAACATTAAAGATACGATTCAAGGATTGATCTTCGGGTCCACCCCTGCATTTCGGGACATGAAAATGATTGAGATTCCCATCAAATATTTACAATTACCGGGAAAAAGGCATACATAAACATGCCATCAGAATTGGCCGAACCCTAGGGTTATAATACCAAAATGTCCGAAAATTGCTGGACATGAAGAGATGGTTACACTCATGATCATTGCCCATGGAAACTTCTTGCGTCAGAACTAAAAGATGTTTAAATTAACAACATTTGGACCATGTGTTCGCTACGCATGAAATGAAGACCATTATCGTGCTACCAGCATCAGCATTGGTTCATCTCATTTACATCATTTTGTGTATTTCTCTTTTGGTTTGAAATCTTGTCAAACTTAAGTGTTCTTTCGTTTGAATGTGGAAAGTTTTGACTGATGAAATAATTGTAATTTTATTCATTTTCAAGGGAAAATAAAAGCAAATTTTAATTCAAACAATTCTTTTAATCATTTAAAGGTATGGAAAAATATGTAATATTCATTGAATGCCAGCATTGATAGTATAGACCTTGATATGGAATTATACAAAATCTGTTCTGAAATATGGCCAGTGTTGTCATCCCTGATATATACACACACCGAAGACATATGGAATGTTTCCCATATACAAAATTAGGATACATCTCAGATACTTATATAACACACACAAGTGTAAAGATTTCTTGTCAACACATAATCATATAAATACAATTTGAAATAACTCAAATATATAATTAAATGATAATTAACATAATTACAGCTATAGATGTGGGTTGGCATTCCCTGTTATGCACGTCATGACAATGTAACTGAAGTCACAATTTGATGTGGCACTGTATGTATTGTGTCAGCATTGATGTTGACATGTGGACAACAGTAACAAATAATAACTTGCTTAACAAGTTTTAGTATGAAATCAATAGTAATATTCTGACCATTACTGAACACAAACGACATTACCAGTAACACACATCCGTGATATATCAAACAATAAAGACTACAGAAATATTATCACTTTTAAGACCATATACATATCGCACTTTTTAGTATGTTCCTCCATTATGAATTTGCTAGAACCTATCTTTATAAACAAGAAGACATGCAAGCCTGCATTGCTCACCTGTTGCAGAATGACGTCGGCAAACCTATCTCACTTGCATCAGTGGGTCAAGGCCAATCTTTTTATGGAAATTTGATAGAAAGAAAGCTTGCACTACAGATAAAATGTCATTATTCTAGATTCTTTAATCTCTTCTTTTGGAAGAATTGAAATGTATTCAATCGTGTGACATTCACAGTTCGCTATTGTCATTTCTTTGAACAAATTGAATAGTCTGTTATTCTAGCAAACTACAAGTGAAATTCTTTTTGCTCTAGATTTTAAGAACTTTTCAAAGACATTATCTGAAGTAATTTACACATTTTACTCAACATGTGACCTTGAAAGTGGTTTATAGTCTTTATTTGAACAAAGTATGTAACTCTTGCCAAAGCAAGCCACATGCCAATTATCAATACCCTGTATTTTATTAATCTGAATTAAGAAGAATTTGTAAAAGGAAAACTGATACCACAAGGACATACAATGGACTTTACACAATCTCAGAAGCTCAGGCTTTTTGTGCCAGGTGAGCTACAACGAAGAGAAACAAATCAAAGGTAAATTGGATCAACTGAACCATGGAAAATACAAATGAAACATTAAATCATATAATTAGTAAAACGGTTTATATATGAAGCAGTTGTCATCTTATTCATTTTATAGTTGACTTCAACTATCTTACATTTCCAGGTTCACAGTTTTGAATGGAGTTAACCGTTGAGATCAAATTACATAGTGCATGTGTCAGATCCAAAATAAAAAGCAACAATACAAAATCAAAAAATATAACCAACATATAGATATAACTTAAGTATCACATTCCTAAGGTAGATTTGAAATAAATACAAGTATATTCACAAGGCAGTAGGCATTAGAGATTACTAAGTTCATACATAATGTGGTCAAAAATAGTTTTTATCTATACTACTAGAGGAAAAGTAGGTAGCACTTATTCTTTGCTAATTGCAGGTGAAATAAAAACTGTGTTTAACAGTATATCACAGCATAGCAAATGGGTAAATGAGTACAGTAGAAATGGCTTGACCCTAAAATTCAAGGGTATGTCTCGGATAAACATGGATAGCGGATTCATCCTGCACAACACACTTACATAAATATATATATTTATAAACTACATTTTGAATACGGTTTATTTAGAAGAAAGATTTTCTTTTCAAAAAGTGTTTTCCCCAGATGTGGGACTTGTGAAAACCATGGTTACCACATCAAAAAACGCCAAAAATTGCAAAAAAACATGATTTTTAACCCAAAATTTGACCCACGCTAGTAGTATTTTTTTTCTTAAAACCCGTCTTAACTTAAATATCACCTACTCCGTAACAGTAATACTCACGTTTCAGCACAGGTCGTTCAACTTGATTTTTCACAAAATTTACACATGTGCTGAGTACAAAAATAGACTACATGAAAAGCTAGCTTTTATTGTGTAGACACAGATTTGTAAATGGCCAAAAATGTAGTCTCAAGCCAAAATCGATTTTTTTTTTAAATGTGAAGCCCAAATAGTCCAATTCATCATGTATATGCAAATTTAGAGCTGATTTTTTTTTAAAGTTTTGATACATGTAATATTACAGGGGTTATTCATTGTACAAAAATATCACCCATGGCCACTGTACGCTGCTACCATGAGAGTAAAATTGAATGTTGCATTGATCATTTACAGTAAACTCACATTCAAGCATTAAATATATCAGTCATGAAAATCTCAGATTCTATATAACTTGATTTCAAAAAAACATTGATAAATTTTGAAAAAAAATGAACCGAAAAATAGTAATTTAACAAACCTGAATAAATTTTCCTAAATAGGGAAATATACCAAATCTTTAACTAAAAAGTACACAAAGCAGCTTTAAATTATAAAAAAAATCTTAATGAAAAATTACCAAATTACCAAATACCTGCTTAACAATTCGTATTGCAAAGATTTTTATAGTTTTTTTTTTATTACAGGATGGATATTCAATAATCATTATCTAATCTTTATTTCCAAATTCAAATATGGTTCCGTCACATATGTTTTACGAATAAATCTTGAGCAATTAATTTATTGAGAAAATAAAACATATGGATCACAATGATGGCAAGTTTTGTTACAATACATGTACATGTTTTTCAACAGTTTTGTTAATAAATGTTTTAAAAACTACAACACTTTACATGTATATATACCAAATATAGATAAAATTTTATGGATTTTTTAAGGTTTATTTCATTAAGTCCTTACATGTTCTTAGGAAAGCGTGCAATACTGAATCCATACACATATTTAATTATAACAGGCTATCGCAAAAAGATTGTTTCTTGACAAATATTTTAAGGAAGTGCACTCATTTTACATGAAATGTCAGGCAACATACAAAGTATTGAACTTTTTGAATGCCATGGGAAAAAAAGTTGAGGTAAGGATATATTATAATTCATATTCCCCCAAAAAGTTTGCAATGTAAACTTAAACAAGGCAGTGTTGTAGTGTTGTATTTGCATTTTAGCCCTGATCTTAATTTCTGACTACTCAATGTTTGGGTATTGGTGGGTACTCAAAGGCTTTCTGACCACGGGGGCACCTGCTCTTGTGTTTCCTGAGAAAGTGACCACTGTCCGAGTTGTCCTGGCGATCCTGAATTGCGTAACAGTTTATTGGATTAAACTTCTTATCCAGACAGATCTCCACCTCAAATATCATGTACAGACCAGTCGCCTTAACAACAAAAAACAATAAAACCTCTATAATACTAGATTTTCGTGATGATTTTGAACAACTTAATAAAATTTACATTGGGGTAGGGTAATGACATTTTAAATTTTGATAAAGCACCTTGGAACATTTCAATCCATGCAAAGTACTTGAATCCAGGACTTCTATCAAAGAGACAGTTATTATTTTTTAGCCTGTTTGACCACTTTGAGCCCTGCCAATTAAGCCCTAGGTTTGGGTCATAGCTTTAATTTCAATACATCTAATTGTCATCCCATAATGATACATGTTTCCAAATTTGAATTTAGTGTAATTTTCCTATGCTTACTAAAGAATACTTCACACTCTCCCCAGGGATGACCAGGGGGTAATGAAATTCAAACTTTTGATGAAGTGTCGGAGGACCTTTCCATCCATAAAGAGTATTTGATTTTAGGATTTCTGGGTGACCTTGACCTTTGATGAACCAAGCCCAAAACAAGAATGAACTTCCTCTTCCCTAAAGCAACCCACATCGCAATACCAAGTTTGAGTTTTGTGTGATCATTCATTCTGAAGTTAGACTTCCAATTTATTTGTTCTATGGAATTCTATTTTTGATAACAAAATCACACTGACATTCAACTGCCTTTTCCCGAAAGCAGTAGGATTTCTTTCTTTTTTTTGGAGAATCATTTATAATTGATTCTAATTTTAGGATGAAGAAAATAAAATTGTACAATTAGTAACTGTGACCTTGACAAATCCTGTCAAAAATAAACAGTGGTCTATTTCTCGGGCAAGTTTGGGCTTTGTGCAATCATTCATTCTTTAGTCAGCATCTGGACAAAAAATGTCAATGAATAGTCAGACAAACAGACATCCGACATAGTTTATCTATCCTCCATATTTTTCACAGAGGGATTATAGAAAAGTGATTTCATTTTTATTTGAAATCTTGCTCCTTAGACGTGATCAATGTTGGAAAGTAAGGGTGATTTAGTACAATGAAATGTTCAGTAAAGACCTATCAAGGTACTTACAGAATCCTTGGTGCACTCAACGATGACAGTCTTGTTACCTAGTTGTTGCATCAGGGCAAACTGTATCTGGTCCAGCTGTTTGTAGGAAACAAGGCAAGATCTTCAGTTGAACATTTTCACTTCAGTTACAATAAATATCCCTTGTTTTGTACAAAATTGAATCTTCTTTGTCCAAGGAGGTATCTCCATTAAAATAACTTTCTGCCTTATCTTATTTTATACCAAATTACGTTCCTTTGGTCCATGAAACCTTTGTACCAAGTACGTTTTAAATCCCTTCACCCATACTATGAGAGAGCGATTCTTAAGCTTTGCCCTATCATGCCCTACTCTTCTGTCCCAAGGGAGGCAACATCCTTCCTTTATACCCTTGGTTTAAACAAAATAATGTCCTCTTGGACTAGTTAAACTCTACAATTAATGTGATCTAAATTCATTTAGCCGTCCAGAACTAACAGTCTTTTAAATGAAAAGATGACAGAAGGTTAATGTTGGACGATGTCTGCCATGCTACAGGAGCAGGAGCTCACTTGTCCTTTGAGCAAAAAGCTAATATTATCATCATCAGAATTGGATCTTTAAATATCAAACCAAAATAGGCGTACTTACTCTGTAGTGTGCTGTCTTACTTGGTAAGATGCCCTTATTCTTTAATAACCTGAGGAAAAAAATATTCCATTTATTTCCATTGTGTATGGGACATATTTAAAAAAAAGATATATTTGTCAATATCCCCTTTTTCCTCCTATTTAAGTGTTCACTTATTATTTTGGTACTTGTTTTAAAGTTAACCTAAAAAATAAATAATATAGAAAAAAAATATATGGTAAAAGGCATCCCTCTGAATAGGGATTGACTTTAAGCATCAAATCTGTCATATTTTTAAGAGATTCCTTGGAAATGCAAAAATGCACCAAAACGTACACTTTTTGGGCATATTTCCTTGCCAACTCATAAGTTTAAGATTCGGAGAGGTCAACATTTGAACGACACCTCTTTTCCATGTGAATGACATATGTATGAACATTGAAGATCAAATTCTTTTTTAGATACATTTTGTACATGTTTGCAACTTACACATTAATATGAACAAAAATATACAAATTTTGGCCTTTGTTTTCACGACAACTAGAAACTTTCTTGCAATCAGATGCTTACAAATGATTGTGACATGGCATTGGTGTGATCTACCCGTGAAAGTAAGTTTCATGTAGCAATTGATTTTGACAGGCAGTTATTTTACCAAGTCAATGAAGTTCAAGACATCACTTGATACTGACTTACGTGGATGCGCTAAACTTTTTCATGAGTTGCAGGCTTTGTTTGAAATACAGGTACTCATTGGCAGTGGCAGGGAGGGTGGTAGCACAACGTCCATGTTTCTCCCACTCGTGTTTCCTGTAATAGGCGAAACAAGAATAATTTTACATCTGATATTTGATCAAAGAGGCTTTCTGTGAATTTTAACTACATAATAAGAAGACTAATTATTTTTTTACCTCCTGGGAAAGATTATTTTGATGAATTTTAAATATATTATGCTTTAGCAACTGTTTTTTGGGGGTTTCCTGCATCCCTGGATTACGTCATGGCAAAACTGAAGGCACACAGTTAGCAATTTGATTGGTTTCATGTATCAAAAACTGACCAATCATTAGGAGGATACCTGTCCTTTGAACTGTAATCCCTAGAATTTCGAGGATGAATAAACCCAATTTACTGAAAAGCAATTTCTTCTAATTTTTCTGAAAATATATATTTAGACAACTAACAGTTATTTCAAGCCTGGAATCAGTTCATTCTAAATACTTAATGCAAGATATTTAACAAATGAGAATATCGTATACAGAAGTAAATCAATCTAAAACTTGTTACACACCAGAAACTGGACATATTGGTATCAGCATAAATGTTCGGCCAGAAAATTTGTAGTTCTTCCACCAATGGCTGAAAGACGAATAAAATACAAGAATGCAACAACGTTAGCAATGTCACCGTCTATTTGGTTACATACATTATGTATTTTCCCAGTAATATTAAAAAAAATCCAGATTTAGACATAACCAGCCAATCAAAAACGGGCTGCATGAGTGTGTCTGGAAAAAAATCAGCAGTAATTGCAGATTATCTTTATGTGATCATAGAGCAGTATTAAAAACTTGAAAGTAATGTGTTCAAAATGTTGACGCAAGTAAAAATATCAGCAACAAACTCCACAATATCAGATAACATTGTTTAATCTAGATCTACTCCTGCTTTTAATCAAGTCATTTCATTATCAGTATGCAGTTCTGGCAACAGCAAATGATAAACCATTCTCCATGTTCAAGCAACAAATTAAGAGCGCCAATATGGGGTAGTTTCTTTGATAAACACCCTTCAGAAGGTCTAGCAGCGGCAATGACCAAAACAATACGACATTGTTAGCCTTATTGCTACTTTCGACGACCATTCTTCTAATTCTGAAATTGAATATAAGCTTAACATATACATTAACATAACATTTTCTGTTGTTTTGGGGGAAAATGTCTTTACATAATTTAATTGGTAGCTTACCATATACATTCATTAGCTTACCAGGATAAACGGAATGCAACACCCTAAATCTCTGTTTCAAAACACACAAGTAGCTTCCAGTTACCTTGATCATGGTGAAGTTGAAATCCTTGGATATGTGACATTCTGTTGGTCCCCTCGTATGTCCATTTGTGGGCCTGTAAAGGTCATGTTAATACATAATTCTTTACTTATAAATAAAAATCTGTGTAACTTTTAAAACTATTCAAGGAATGGCTCAGGATCTGCAGCTCTTGTCAATGTAGGTACCTGCAATCTCTTGTAAATTCATCCTTAAATACATAATTGAAGACACAGACATGCTTTTATAAAGAGCAGTGATAGAGTTATATTCATCCCTACCCAAACCATCCCTTTCTATGTAAAATTAAGTTTGTATATTGTATCACCAATGCTGACATACATATCAATAATATACTTACAGGATATCAAGATAGCCTTTCTCATTGTGTTAAGTCAATAGTTTTAAATCAATAACACATTCCTTTATAAATATGGTATTGCTGAGCAATTCTTAGCTCACACTGGTTATTAGTCTCCAACCCCCTTGACTGGTTGTTCAAGTTAAACAAAAACAATTTATAATAAGTGATCTAAGCATTTTTTCAATTTCAACAAATTTTATTGACAATATAAGGAATAAACAATAGAATCAGACATCAGGCATAGCCTATCTAAGTCCTCTCCTTAAGGTGACAACAGGTGGTAAGAAACACAAACATATATCTATACATTAATATGATGATTGGGATAAGGGGAAGTAACTCCTTGATGTTAACAGACTTGTTCAATATTCTTGAGATGATAACCCTTTCACTAGGGATATTTCATTTTACTAGACTATTATCTTCAGTGAATAATATCAAGTATTAGACAACTGTTGAGTATAAATATTGGTGATATTGGATTTATTCCCCCAAAAGATACAGGCCATACAGTCCATATGTATAACACACTAGCCATACACTGTTGAGGATCAAAAGCCAATTTCAGCAAATAGATATATAATTTGTAAGTAGAGTTACACCAACTCCTGCAAATAATATGATTTTAGCATTTGATCTTTTGACTTGAAAATCAACCCTAAGCAAAATACCTTAAACAAGGAAGTGTTTTATATAATTACAAAATAAAAAAAAACAAAAACCTCTGCTTATTTGATTGAAACTGTTGTTCTGTCTGAAGTAACAGTGATCTTGAACTTTGAAAAACAAATGCAAGAAAGTATTTTGGATAAGGAAATCTGGCAAGACCATTGCGTTAAATATATTCATTATAAGGTGACTTAATTCTTTACCCAACAAAGAGCTTGATGTTCCCCTGGTAATAGTATCACTGAGCAGAGTTTTATTTTTATTCTATAAGACCCTTAAAGGGGCATCACGCTGAAGTAACTAATTTTTGTGTCTTTTTTTCAAATACTACATAAACATATCAAGTGAGACTCCTTATGGAAAATAACGATCGGATTTGGCTGAAATAGATTCATAAAAATGATTAAATCTAAGATAATCATCGGTATTTCTACCTGTCTGACCAACGTTTTGTTCAGGGATTTCCCTCTACTAGCACATGCGCATTGCACACCATTTCTTTGTAAACAAAATGACTGGCCGTGTGAAGTAAGCCAAAGAAAAGTGTTGTACCGTGTCA